ACAACACCTGAAGCAGAATTTCTGGAGGGTATGTTTTGGGTAATCACTGTTGTTTAAGATTTCTCTTATTATTTTGAAAATTTCTGTTGTCTTTAATTTTCCTACAACTAATAATAATGAATTATGGGAAGGCACACAGCAATTTTGCCTTTAATTTGCAGTTCTCCAAGTTAATGATCCCTCCACCTTCCCTTGTATCATTTGTCCCCTGATGGAAGTACGGGAAAGGTCTCTAGAAGACTATGAGTACCCTGGATTTCTTGTGTGAAAACTGCAGCATAGACAGCCTTTAAAAAAGATGAAACCTACCATCTGAGCTCTATGCACCCAAGTGGGGTCTGATGGCTCCAAAATAGGGTCATGGTGTGCTGAACATCCATGAAACCATGAACAAGGGGATCTCTGCCACCCTGGGTAAGGTCGTGCTTGGGCTGCTGACATTTTAAGCAGCATTTCAAAACTAATTGCCTGGCCACAGCTATGTTATTATCAATTAACATAGTCCTGAATGTCAGGAAGTAACTGTATCTCTCTAACTCTTTAAGGCTGCCTTCTGGGTCTGTGAAATGGCTGGATTTCCTCACAGGGATGGATTACATGTTTACGTCTCGCCTTCTGCTGGAGTGTGTAGTGAGGATGACCCAAGTGAGAGACAATGACATCTTTATGTTCCCTCTCTGTCCATCTTGTCTTGTGTATTCTACAGAGTAGAAAAAAAAGTCCTCATATGTGAGATTTTGGAACAGGGTGGAAGACAACCACATTATGGACACTGGACTGCCTAAATCCAAGAAGTTAGAGAAAAGAAATTAAGCAACAGCATTTGACATCCTTTTAAGAACGGACACTTTTCCAGATGTCAGGAAATGCCCTTAAATGGATGGGATCATTTCAGTGATCCTATCAGTCCAGACAGCATAGCAGTCTCAGAAGCTGAGGATATCTCTACCATCAGAAGGTCTCACTCTACACAGACCCTCTCTAATACTGTCCAGCTTTTAAGATCTGATATTCTGGGATATGGGACTTTCCAGATTAGAATAAATACGACCCAGTTACAAAATAAGCATCCCTTCTTCTGAGCCTGAAGAGGTTACAGCATGGAGGGTGGCTTTTTATCTCTTTGTGGGGGTGAGGGAAAAAGGGTCATTGCAGTTCTGTTTTAGTTAGTCACTGGTTGAATGGGCCATGGTGGAGAGCAAGTGAGCAGAGGGCTCTGTGGCATGGCCCTGCTGTCCGTCACAAATATGCCCCCTCTATATGTGCAGTAATGTAGACTCATCCAGTCTGCAGACCATGCCTGCTCATTTGCTTACTTGGGCTACAGGAAAGGCAGAGTTTCTTTAAGGAAAGTTTCTATCTGCACAGAAGCCAGAGCAGCTGAGAACAGACAGTGCAGATGGTGCTAATTTCCAGAGGCCATATGTTTGGAGGGACGTTGGGTACCCCCAAAAGAATTCTTTGTTTTCTCAATGTTCATTTTCAAAGGTGCTCTGGAGGTCTTCTCTTTGCAGGAGGCTGCTGCTTCCTCCCACTTGTCCACTCCTGACATGTTTGCTCCATCCCCTCCTCCGTCCCCTGCTGCTCGATAAGCCCCGCAGCTGGATAAACAGCAATTTCAGTTGCTTACAGCCCTCCAGTGCCTTTCAGTGAGGCACCAGCACGAAGAGAAGCTTCCTGAGCTGCTCATCGTGGGTGGACGGTAATGCTGTAGCCTACATGCCAGCAGCAGCAGCACCCTGGTCCCATCAAGATCAGGTTCAATATACACAGGATCTGGAGGTGCTAATTACAAATGTGGGCTCCTTGTTTTGTGCAAGGCAGAGGAATTTGGTGATCTGGGAACTCTGGGTCTGTCTGTAGGCTGGGGTTAGCTATGAAATGGGCTTAGAAATGTTCATGGTAGCTTTGATTCCTGCTCTTTTAACTTCTTGTTCCTTCTCTGCTCACTATTTAGAGAATGGGGAGTTAGCTCATCTCCTAAGCGCACCACCTCTATCTCACCCAAACATAGAGTAGGAACCCCCGTAGATGAGATTAGCACTTATGGCTGTTGAGGTTGTTTGCTCTTCGTCATTTGTGGAGCATTTTGGAGTTTACCACCATCAAGGCCTGGCCCACCAAAGAGGGCAATAAGGCCTCTTTCTACACAGCTGCCCCAATCTGCCTGGGACTGCAGAGGCCAGGGAACATAGGGAACAACATGCAGTGGTGTTGCAGTGATTCTGTTACAGTTCATATTGCTTTCATGAAGGGTTCTGTGCAGTCTGTTTGACTTGTATGTTTGCTCCCTTGGCTTACACAGGATTGCCAGCATCTCTGACCAGGCCAAGGTATCTCTGCCAGTCCCCTGGCCAGGGGCAAGCCTGGTGCATCGCATGAGCACAGCTGGTGCTGCCTGCAAGAGGCTGTCTCAGACTGGACGTCTTTGGTTAGAGCAGTTGAAAGTGGAGACATAAGGATCCCCTCTCTCATTTGCCTGCCTTTTCCTCTAATGTGCATTAGGTTACTTCTTGTTATGTTAGAGTCTAGCCTCCTTAGAAGCTCTGCTTGGCCTTCTCATTAATCACTGTGACAGAACATGACAAATCCACTTTGCTGAAGCATTATTTCACTTTGTAAAATCCCCAGTGCTTTGCAATAGCTTATCCAGCAGCACCTCCTCCCTCCCCGCTATCCTTGGCACATCTTCCCTCCTCCTTCTTCAGCCCATACAAGATGATGTTGCTTTTACAAGTGATTGTATCTGAGGGCTTCTCTGTCTCCCGGGTCACATGTATGGTTCCGGCATTTGAAGCTCAGTCCCTGGATGGTCTCTACTGGTTGACTTATTGTAGCCAAGATTGTGTGCCTGCAGCTCCCTGAGCTCTGTTTATACAAGACTGCGCAGGCCCCTCCACATAACGATTAATTTTATAGAGGGCATATAACGAAGATGGGCCTCCAATATGCCTCCTGCCTTTGATCTGTGTGGGGTGTGTGGTTTGGTGGGACCAGAACTGCCGGCACTGCTGATTTACTCTGCTCTGCGGATGTAGCTTCTGGAGCAAGCAAAAGCTTGTTTTTTCTCTCAGCAGTATTGCAGTACCATTACACGCTGTGCTGCTGTCTGGTCACATTTGGTCTGGAAGGGTAGGGTGGCTCAGGGTTTGTTTGCCTTTAAATTTTCCTTTCAGTATTAGCTAAATGGTTTGGTTCATGCAACCCACGAGTGCCCCAGTCTGCCCCTGTGCAGACAGGTAGGCGGGTTATTATGGGTCTATAGTGTTGCTAATGGAAATAAAGTCCGTATATTGGCAAGTTATAAGCATTGACCTTGTGACAGGGTGCTTACTCTGAAACAAAATCTCTCCAAAACAGTCCTCACCGAACTTTATTGTCATGCAGGCCAGACTTGGAAAAATTACTTTTTTTTTCTCCCAGTCTGGCACAAATTAGGATTCCTGTATCCGAGTCTCACCTTGCCCTCCAAAATGAACTTTCTGATGAGAAACACTTTTGTTGTTTAGACTTGGCATACCGAGCAGGATAAGTGACCTCAGCATCAACACTGGTGATAGGCAATTGCCAGACCCTGCAAATTCGGGTCCCCCTGAGCCCCTGCCTTAAAGTTGGGTGGAGATGTTTTGAGCTGTTGAGCTTTCTGGCTGCAAATGTTGGCTTTTTAGCATCATCTCTCCATCACTGTGAATGTGCTAAACATTCCTTTTTTTTATTTCTTAACCAAAAGATAACCTTTGGAGGTAACCTTTTTTGATCAACCATAATGAAAGCTGAGCAAAGGTCTTTAGAGTGCCATTCACAGTCTGATTTTAGGGTACCAAAGCTTGATAGCCAAACCATTTGCTGAAGTCCTCCGTATGAAGGAGTCATGTTAAGTGGGAGATTTCCAATGTGGAAGATGTTTGTTCAAGCCTCCAGTTTCTTTTGTGGACTTTCAGGCAGGGGTATTTTCAGAATGACGACATATTCTGCAGGTGCTCACCTTGACATCCACCTCCCGTGCAAAGAAGAGGTTGCTGCCTGTTATCTGTCAGCTCGCCTGTTACGCTGTTTAGTCTTACTTCCTGGCACTTCACATAAAGAGAGGGGAAAAAAAGAAAAAAGAAAACAGCGTGTCCATAAAGTATGGAAAATGTAGAACCCCCTGACAGTTGTATGGTGTGTCTTGCTTCTCTCACAGAGAGGAAACCACAGAATAGTCAGGCCAGGGGTTTCTTTCCGCACACACACAGTATCTGTCAGGATTTTGAGGAATTTTCTGGGAACTGATGAAAGAAATGTGCTGTTTAAGCCTTGATATATACTGTACAATAGTTCTGTATGAGGGAGATGCAGTGCTCCACGTTGCCAGATTCCAAAAATCTTTCCAAAATAAAAGAAACCCAAAGGATTTGAGGAAATCCCTTCCAAGAGGGTCAGAATGGCTCCTATGGGAACAGAGCAGAAGCAAAGGGGGAAATAAGCTCACACTAAAGAGAAAAGGTACCTGATGCACTTAATAGCCATAGTTTTCTCATTAACCTTTTCATGCCTTTGTAGGATCATCGATACTGATGGGAAATGCATAGGCATTTTAGCAGGAAAGGGGCTCTTTTCCTCTCCACTTTCAACTTGTCAGCCCCAAGGGGTGGGCAGGATGTGAGGGGGAGTCACACAAATAACAAGTCTCCTCGGTTCAGTGGTGTCACACTCATGGAGGGGACCCCTGTCTGCCAAAGGACCAAAAATGAGTTTAACAATGTCAAGAGTTTGACTTGTATGGCCTTTCCAACACAGGACTTTCAGAGGCTGCCCTGCACTCCTGGTGACTGTAAAGCAGTACTGCTAATTTTGGGGATGAGTAACTAATGAATAGGGAGTTTGTGTATGTGCATCAGCAAATGTAAGTAGCATCAGGATCAACCCCAAAAGATGGTGCTGCGTGTTTATCCAGTCCTTCTTCTTAGGATCTATTGCATTAAAAAAATATTTATTGTTTCTTTTCTTCTGTCTTTCAGGTCCACCTGTAAGTACCAAGCCTCTATGGTTTTAGAAGCTGTTGACACAGAATTTGCAGGCTATGAACTAGCAAAGTCTTCTGTCTGTGGTGTCTGGTGTGGTAGCTGCCTTCACAGTCCTGGCAACCTGGGACCTCTCAAACAGCAAGTACTGTGGGTGTTCAAGACCCATATTATTGTGGGGTTGCTCTCGGCTGCATTGCAGCTTTTGAGGGTGATGACACAGAGGGAGCACAGGGACATGGCAAACACGAGGGGCACATGTATTTATTACTAGTTGGCCCCACATACCCTGGGGGAATCAGCTGTATGATGTGCTTCAATCCATTGGATGCCACATGCTGAATGAGACATGTTTGCAACAAAGGGAAAGATAGATCACAAACACATGGCAGGAGCTGCAGGGACTTGTTCCCTGCTACTCTCAAGGGCTTGCTGAACTGATGGGCCTTGAAGTATAGCTGCACAATTATCAATTTCAGAGGAAAAAATTGTGTTGACAGCTTCCTTTTTAAATGCTAGCTAATGCAAAACCTCAGTGCAGATGATCTGGGCTTCAGGAAAACAACTAGGTTATTGCAGAATTTTCTGACAGCTACTAAGAGACCCACAGTGAACCAGAAGAAGCAATGCAACAAATGAGGCCATGTATTGACATCTGTCAGGATTGTAGAGAAATGCTATATTGTCTCTAGCACGATCCTTCCAGAGGAAATTCGTGTACAATACAGTAACTATGCTGGGTTTCTGCGGAGGAACATGAGAAGTTAAACATACGGTAGTCATCTTTTGTCTGTTCATGCAGAAATGTCTTAAACAGTTTGCAGATGATGTTCCAAGGAGAAGTAGTTGCTGCACAACCTTTTTTCCCCTTTCATCGAGTTAAAATGCTATAGACTGAACTCCCAGATATACGAGCACATCCCTATTTAATGACAACAATCTTACAAAAAATTGCACCTTCCAGGCCAAAAGGTCTGAAAGCATTTTACAGCTGGAATCCCTGATCCATGCAAACCTTCAGCAATAGTTGATCCTAGGGGCTTTCAGGACTGGCTGCTGAAATGAATGTATTTCAGTGTTAGCTTTGGGTTATTGGGAAGAAAGCGCTGCTCCAGAGGAGCTGCAAGTGGAGTCCAGCTAGATCTGTCCCTACCATTCTACCCTGGGCAAGCATAGGTCAGTGCTAAAGGGATGGGCCAGGCACATAATTGGTGCTGGTGAGGCATTTCTATTATTGCTAAGAGAAATTAGAGAGAAAGCACAAGTTCAACACAGACGTCTCCTGGAGAGCAGTCTGCGCCTTTGCAGGGTGAGGAAGACATGCACTCCAGGCTTCCTCTGCAGCAATAAGGGCTAGAAACTTAATATCGTAATGAAAGATTGAAGCCTGGCAGAAACACATGGGACCACCAGAGAAGTGCTGACAATATGTGCTACCGTATCCTGGCTTATTGCAACCTCTGAACCTGTCTCCGCATGCAGACTTTCAGGACAGGCTGCGAGCAATGCTTCAGCCAATGGAAATAACAAGAGGAAGTCAGGCAGACCGAGCATCATTAGCCGAAGTGGAATGTCTTGGGCTAACAGCACCCTTGTCTCTTTCAGGACCTCTGGGTTTCTGATCAGCTCAGTTCACTGCTGAAGAGTAAAGCAAAGTCCTCCATGCCACCATAGGAAATATTTCTTCCCTTTCCCTGCCACCCCACCCCCCCGCCATGTTTTTTGTGATTAAAACTGCATGGAAACTCAAGTTTATGAGCAACAGACATGGGCTTCAGCCTGGATGGTTGTCATATACCTCATGCTGGATAGTAACCTCAAAGCACTGATGACCCCACTACTCTCTCCTGGCTTTTTATCCCGCCTTGCAAAACACAGCATATTGGGCAGCAGGGCTTAGACCCCAGTGTCAGCTTGAGTTCAGGGATGGGCAAAAATACTCATTAGAAGTGCACTGAGCCCTGCTGGCAGTGTAGGATGACCAGGAGAAAATACAGGGAAATGGCTGAGCAACACCCCAGTGGTCAAAGGGGCCTTCATGCTCTCCTCTTGCCCAACAGATGCTCCCACCGTTGTTCTTGAAATCAGTTGATGCTTTGATGAAGACAGGGGTAACCCGCAGTCACGTAAGAAATTTGGTGAGATTGGGACTAAAAGGGGCAAAGGAAGGAAGGAAATGATGAAATGATGCAATAGTCCAGAGGTTCCCAGACTCAATTGCCGTCTGGACCACATCCGAAGGAAAAGATCCTCTCACGGACATTTTCTCTCCCATTTCTGAACATGCAACATTTCTGTGGCAATTGCAACAATTCCATACATGAAAAAATAATATTTAGCAGATGGAAAATCAGGGAAAAAGTCAGGGCCCTGTAATTAGCTTGCTCTCCGTGGACTTCCAGATACCTTCAGAGCCTGTGCGGAGAGCTGTGGGTAGAGCCATGCCGAAAGGAGAGAAAACTTCACAAACAGGAGATTAGGAAACCAAAGCAATCAGAGCTCATGGTCAAGGAGCTGTGGAGAGTTTTTTAACCATTCTGTTTCCTAAACCCTTTCATGTGCTTTCATCTCTTTATCATGCCCTTTCTTCAGAGTTTGAAGCTAACTTTCACCATTTCTATGTACTTTGTTTCAGGGCCTTATAGGAAGACCAGGGCTCCCGGTAAATACTTCATTCTTTCCTTTTTCGCTCCCTCGTGCTCTGTATCTGGCAGTACTTTCATCAGTAGGCCTCCAGGGTTTCTAAACTGGGAGAAGGTAGTAATCTTGCATAGCAATCCCCATGTGGAATACCAAATCCAAACAGCACGAGACATGTCTTCTAACAGAGTAGGGACCACAGGAGCTTTGTAGGAGCAAACTTAAGGGTAACATAATCCCTATGAATCCTCCTGCATGTAGGAAACATATTATGTTTGAAGATGCCTTTGTCAGCTTGAGGGTCTGGTTGAAGAGGCACAGTGTGTAGTATTCTTGCTGATGGCGCTTGCTAATTGCAGCAGGATTTAAAAGGCCTACATCACTCTGGGACAAATGTAAAAGTATGTAATAACAGTGTCTGCATCTGAGAGAGAGAGCCACGAGTGAAGAAGGAGCATAGGGTTTGGTGTTATAGCTGTGTGCTTTCTTGGCTATGGCTTCCTGCTCCCTGGGCTGCAGCTCACCTGGAGAATGCAACAGCTATAACAGGGAGTTTCCTAATGGTCGAAATGTAAACTGAGCTGCTGGCTCCCTCTGACTCAGGACAGGGTCTGCTTGCTGCCTTTCATGCTCCTCTAGTTCCAATGTGGGAGCTGCTGGCAGCTTTGCATGACTTCGTAACCAACTTACATGGTATCATCCACCTTGGAGTGCTCTTTCCTGGCTCCCTGTCACAGACAACCTTTCATTATAAACATCTGGCATTTATTTGCTGTCCTACTGGGAGCTCTCCCTTTGCTATTATTGCTTGGAGGGCTGTAACGCTGCGCAGTCACATACCAGACACAGTGCTGTCATGTACCGCTCCACTACCAGGTACTCGCTGGAGACCTGACACAACTCTGCCCTCAGCTTAGGCTCTTCCTGCCTGGGCACCAGCCACTACAAAGCCAGGAGAAATGAAATCAGCTTTTACCTCAAACTATGAGGGAGATCAGCCTGAGCTCAGCTATGGAGGAATGCAGCATTTAAGGGACATAAAGCACAGGAAAACTCAGTGTTACATCCTCCAGCAGCCTTAGATTAACCCTATGGCAAGATGCTGACACCAGGAGTTTTGCTTGCTGCCAGCACACAGACATAGGCAAATATTAGTGGGATTGAGAATCGACCTAAAACCCTAGAATAAGTAGCTTCCTATAATATTTCATCTGCAAAATTTACAATCAAGCAGCTGCTTAGCTTTTCATCCATCTGCAAGGGATGCTTTTGCAAAGCATATGTTGCTTTTCAATTTATGAAAACATGCACTGCATGGAAAGGAATGCTGCCAATACTCAACAGCCCCCCAGCTACACAGAAGGAAGTGGCTAAAGTTTCACCAAGTAGCGGTTTATGCTAGGCAATAATGTCTGAGTTTGGGATGCATGGCCAAAGGAGCCTCTGTGCATACACCCAGCAAAACAGAGTTACGTGCATTCCCCATCCAGAAATTTCACACTACATTCACATGTTGGGACTGAACAGGAGGAAGGCACAAAGAAATGGCACCAATGGAGCTGGTGTCTCCAGCTGCAGAAACCGGAAAACCAGGTTTACGGCTACAGGGGGGCAGGCAGCCATTGGCAGGAACACTCTGTCTTATATAAGAAAACCCCAAACATTGGTGGAAACAGAACTGAGAGATAATTATCACATCATTTTTGCAAAATACAGACCAAAAGCTACATCACTGCTGAAGCCATATTTGTCAAGATCCTTTAGCAGGCAGCTGCTATCTTCCAGATCTGCACAGTTTGGTTTTGGTGACCAGAAATGCAAAGGGAATTGACTTAATTTATTTTTATTTATTTTTATTTTTATTTTGGCAAATTGCATAGTTAAATGTAGGAAACTGCCTTGTAGGTAAGTGCCCAAAGGAAATTGCCACCAGTCCTGTGTTCATGTGTTTATGAGGCTCTGCTCAGTGTCACCTGACCCAAAGCCATTCCCCAAACCACTCTTGGATTGTTCACACCATGACAATGCACTGAGAAGTATCTCAGAGGGGTAGAGGACACTGAACACAGCTGCTCATATGTCTTCTTCCAGACATGCTGTTTCCTGTGTCAGCTTGTTTTCCCACATTTTTCTTTTGCTTCTGGACAGGACTGTATTTTCAAGTCTAAGAGAATCCTGTTTTAAAGTGATAATTCTATAAATAAATAGCTAACACCCAGATGACTTTGGTAAAGAAAGAGTAAAACATGACAGTTTGCTACTGCAGGAAGCCCATTCCCAAGATCTGGATTTTATGAATCACTGGAAACTGGGATTATACTTTGTTAGGCTGAAAACTCTTGCTCTTTTGCTCCCTACATCACCAGGTGTAATTTCTGTTGTGAGATGTGCTGGTCTGTCATATGCACATATCAACTTATGGCTTATGCATGTTCTTAAAGACAGGTTCAGCTACACACAAACACACTTTCTCTCACTTGCTGTCTCACTCTCTCAAAATCCCTGGAAACTTGCACTGCAATGTGAAGCCACATCTGTGGCATAGTTCATTTGTGCTGTTTTATAACCTTGCTTTTGGTCAGTTTCCAATTGCCTCTGATTTTGCCTTAATTGCCAGGGAGATAAAGGTGCGATGGGGATCCCTGGACGGCCGGTGAGTGGAAACTTCTTGTATGTGCCTTGTTCTCCCCATCCTCTTCAACTCCCAAGATTTAGGGTGGCACTTTCAGGGTGATCCTCGGTGGGTGTCAGTGTAAGCAAAGCCATTTTCCCTGACCCCCACACCTGAGGGGCTCTCCTTGTCACAGCAGGGTGGCCAGACCTGCAAACTGCATACATGCAGTATGGGGGGTGTTTCCGTCTGCTCTGCCATATTGCTCAGACTCTCCTCTGGTTTAGCAAGCACCATCCTTCCGTTCCCCCAGTTGGGTGCCTCTTGCTGCCACCTCATGTGTTGGCTGGGCTTGCTAACCATGGGCTTGCTAACACACACCCCTGCTGCCACAGGTGGCTGCTCTTTCCAAACAGCTCTGCCCTGAACAAAAGGGGGTATCCCCTGCCTGTCTGAGCACTGTATTTTGGAATTGCTCTTTGCTCAGGTATCCCAGGGTGAGGATGGGGAAGAGGGCTGGGGCAGGAGCTGAGGCTGCTTTACTTATTCCAGCTCTGTAGCCAGGGTTTTGGTGTGGGGTAGTGTACCCTTGCCGCTGACGCCTGTGTTTGTGTGTCTGTGTGTGTCTCTCTCTCTCTCCCCTCTGCACCCTCTTGCTTGTGGCTGTGACGGGTGCCACTGACCCAGGGATTAAAAGGGCAACCCGGAGAGAAGGTGAGTCAGCTCTTCACAGCCCTTAGCATCCCCAAATATCCTGATTTAGGGCCAGCCAGAGCCCCTCAGTCACAGTCAGGGCTGCTGCAGCCAGCTTTGGGCTTTCACCCCCCCCCCCCCCAGCCTGCCCCTTCTTCCCCAGCGGTGTGAGTTTATCTCCCAAATTCCTTCCAGGCCACTCATCCTCCAAAGATGCTGTGTTTCTTGTTTATGACAGTTTACTAACAACATAAGAGCCAGCGGGCACATGCAGAGCTCCCTCCAAGGCTTCCTGGGTGTTAACCCTGAAGTTTCTTCCTTGCTGGCAGCTCCACTTGACCTAATCAACCCGCAGCTCCCTTCCACCTCCCAGGTTAGCTCAATCCCTGGTGCAAGCTGTAACAAGGAAGAAAATGGTGCAGTACTCTCCTATTTCTAACAAAGTGAGATACCTTCTTACCAAGTAAAACTGGTGGTGTAATTTAAGTCTGTGAAATGCCATCTCACAAGCTGTTTGCTGTCCACTGAACTGGTGTTTTATACATGCAAAGAAGTGGTAGTTTGTAAAGCATCCTACTGCTTGCCCCCATGTTTTGATGTGTTTGATATTTCAGCATAGTCTGTTTTCCCCAGAGCTCTTAGTGTACCCCACCTATGAGAGCAGCAAAATAAAAGTTTTTGGCATGTGTGAATAACAACGTGCAGAAACTAGGAAAGGGATGTATATTCACCTCATAAGGGGATCATCTGCACGCTGCCATATCAGGTCCATTCGCTCCTCTTCTTAGAAGACAGAAAGAAAAACACAGCAAGGAGGGGGCAAGGTAGGACAGAGATTCTCCTTCCTTGCCTTCAAGCCACTGCTTGCTCATTGAAACCAACCAACATTACCTAACAGACCAACATTTCACTGCCTGAAGCCATCCTACTTTTTCTCTGTGTGTCCTTGCATTTCTCTCTGGCCAGCTTTCAGCAAGAAAGGATAGCAGATAGATACAAACAAACAAGGGAAAAACTACTCCTAATGGCCCATGCTTTTCCAAAGCCCTCTGTGAGAGTCCTAGGTCCCAGATGTGTTTTGAAGAGAGCTCTGCTTGCTTGCAGGCTGCTTGGTTTATGGGATGCTCCATCCCAAAGCTCCCCAGGCCTGGGCGCTTCTGGAACTGCCTCTCAGGAATATGCCATGTTTTCCAAAGACAAGGACATGTCCTGCACAGTGCACGTCGTGGGTGGCTACGAGCTGGAGAGGCAGTTGTTTTCTTTTCCAGGAAGGACTTAGCTGTTTTCATCCACATCACAACTGAGTTTGAGAAGCACACAAGCGAGGCATCTCTGGGGGCAGCCAGTGAACTCCTTGCAGCTCCCATTTCTGTGGAGCCTAACACACTTTCTTCTGCAGGACACAGTCCTTCTGGACTGGCAGGAAATATACAGCAAGGGTTTCAGGCCATCTTTCACACTTGCAATGGAGCTGAACCTGAGTTTTGCCAGAAAGTGTTTTATGTGTTTAGAATTTTCCTTGTTGTGCAGCTTCCATGTTCTGGCACATCTGAGTAGCTCCAAATGACATCTTTTCTTCCCAAGTGTGGGCAAGAGCTGTGAGAGGCTGGAACAGCAGCTGCCCTATAAGCCCTGAAGGTCTCACACCTTAAGCACCCTTGTTTAACCCCAGTCTTGACGGGAATATAATTGTCTTTGTATTTTCCTCTCCTCAGTTTTTCACCCCTTTTCCTCTCTCTTGTATATCTGCAGGGTGCTCCAGGAGAAGCAGGCATGTCTATCATCGGGCCCCGTGGTCCACCCGTAAGTGGATTTCTCTCTATTTTTGACAGATGCAAGATGTGGGCAAGTTACAAGGAAATACTTAGGAGGGGCAGTAAGACAGCATCAGCTGGAAAGCAAAAATTCTGTGTCATGTGGTTCCCATGCTGAGCCAGGTTTGGTTTTATACTCCTATTATGTACTATATATAATGAAATTACAGCTCATGCTGTATGGCAAATGAGGAAGCCTTCCCTTGAAGGAAACCATATTCTTGTATTTAAAAGGAAGGAACATATTTCCTTCTAGCAACAGGGCTTCTACCACTTTTGGAGAAAGTACACCCTTTGTCTGGCTGATCTCAGCCTTTGGTTTCATTGGCAGAGGATAAAGCCACTGATTTTGCAGAAGAGCAGGATCAGAGCTAAGCTAGTGACTTGGGAATTCACAAGGATGGGTAGTTCAGGGTTCTTCATAAATCCTTGTCAAGTACCCAAAATCTTGGGGACTCTTTGACACCACAGTTACCGCTACCTGGAAAGCCCCTTAGCTGGCTGGGGACCTGAGGAACGTGTAGGCAAGATTTTGTACCCTCTTCCAGCAAAAGTGCCCCTGCAAGGTGTAATGAATCAACCAGACAAAGCAAGGACAGGGTTATAAAAAAAGACCAACATGAAGGGTTGGAGCATTTACGTGCACGAAGCCTCTGCTTTTGAGTGGGTGCAGCCAGTCCTCTCCGCTCCATCCCTGAACAGTCTCTCATGGAGATTTCCATGAAAAAAGACCTAGAGACTCAATTCTCTCCTTCTCAGTGGGCACTTCCGATTTTGATTAACCTGTGAAGAGCACCATCCTTGACCCGCAGAGAGGACGGGCCAACAGCAACTTTTGTTTCACAGCAAAGGTCAAGTGAGAGAGCCCTGGGCAGTGCAAACACTTGTCTACATCTGGCTTTCCAATTAACTCTCCAAAAGCCCCATGATAAATGTTTCTAATAACAAGCAGGTTTGCCAGTTCCCAGGCCCACCTGCCTGGCACTCTGGAGTTTGAGAAGCGACAGAACCAAAGCCCAGGACACAAACAGTATCTTCAAGTGTTTTACATCCAGCAGAAAGGCTCTGACCATGTGGCCAATTGAGGAGAAAGGGCTGCTAGGTCTCTCAGTGCCAAATTCTGGGCAAGACCACCCTGCTCCACAAACAGCAAGTTTTGGAAGGTAGAAGTTTTTGCTGTAGCTCTCATCCTTCTAGATAGTGTGGTTATAGTAACTGGAGAGAAAAGACATCAGTCCCTGTCACTGTAGGTCCTGTAAACAGACAGGCATCAATATTTTCTGGAAGGACACATGCCTGTTCTGCAGGGCAATTTTTAATGTCTGTTTTGGTGCTGCTGCTTTGCCTCATTGCCTTCTCTGCTCTTTGGGAAAGTGCACAACACATTGCATCTCTAAAGCAGCGGAAAGCTTAGATGGCAGATTATATTTAAAGTGGGCTTTTGCCTACACCAGTCAAAGCCCTGAGGTGCCAGCACTGGCACAACTCCACCCTTCCACCCCAAAGTCTACTGTGAAGATGATCCAGTTTCCCAGAGAGCTGCTGATAGGTCAAAAGGATGGCTGAGCACTGAAGACAAACAAGGAAACCCTGGCCAAGGGGCCACTCGGAAAGATGTGGGATGACAAATAGTTTCCAGATTTTTGTCTGGAGGTTAAAGCTTTCACTCGAGCTCAGAGCTGCTTAACTTCTGGCCAGAGAGGGACAGTATGCCGATAGTGACAGAAACAGACGGTCTCCATGATTTGGCAGCTTCCGGGATTACATACTTTATATGATCAACATTTTAAAAAGAAGACAAGGGAAAACAGCCACCCAACAAAAACAGTCTCTTGGAATCACTCGCTGCTGAACTGTTGTTTTGGCTTGATACCGTGCAAATCACTCTGCTGTCCTCCAAGGAGAAAGAGTCTGCTGTCTACAGAGGAAGCCAAATTGTACCATTTCCAGGTTTTCTCCCTAATTCTTTTTTTAGCACTTCTTGTCCAGGGAGGTGTCCAACAAGGAACCAGAATTAATGAATTGTAGCTAGTCTGCTCCTGGTTCCTGCCTTTTCAGAAACCAGCGGTGGACAGATCCTTTAATTTATAGCCTATCTTCCCTCCTGGTCACAGGCCAACAGGACCAGGTGGTTTTATATGTATCTTGCAAAGCAAAGCTGACCAAGTTCAACTTTGCAGAACTAAAGAAACAGTGCAAATGCGATTAGGTCCTGTATCATTTTGTATAAAAACAGAACTGTTAAGCGCAATGTGAGGCATTTTGTGGTAGGGGCATCTCTCAGACTCTGCAAAGAGGTTATTCGGCCCTATCCTTTGAAAGGTAAACCTTCACTGGGTCTGCAGATGGAGGAGACATAACCTGAAGGTGAAGGTTTTCCCTGCCAATGTGGCTCTGAGCTCTGTTCACTGTGGCAAACCTCAGCCTTGTAACCCAGCAGGTCTGTCCCCTCCTTCCCCTTCTCTCCCCCCACACAGAATTGCTCTGGTTAAGGCAGAATGCACCCATGTGCATTTCTTTTCAGAAGTGAACCCATTTTTATACCCAGGTCTGTCCTAGGAACCCTTGTGAGGCAATGTGAGATACTAGTCATGGTATCTCATATTACCTAAGAAAGCATTTTATTCCCCCAAACGAAGCATAAGAAGACATAAGAAACCTGGACTTTTTGGCATTGTAGCATGGGTTTTGGGGAAGGCAAGATGCCACAGTCGTCACTCAATGAGCATAGTACAGGATTTACCTCCTCCTGCTGTTTCCAGCTATATGGGTGTGCTTCCAGATCTGCTGAATTCAGGTCCATATTGCTTCCTGACTTGGCTCACACATTTTGGGGGGAGATTGAGATTAAAATATCCTTAAATAAAGCTGTATCTTTACTGGATATCCACAAACCTAGGTAACAGCGTCCTGGGATGTCACAGGTCCCAGAAACTGAAGAATTATGAAAAATTAACAGCCAAGATATTTTCCTTTCTCAGTGTTTTGAACTGGTGATGAAGAAGCTGCCAAACATATCTCAAGACAATGTTTGCTGTACCTGATCCCAAAGTGGTAGCCAAAACTGGCTAGTTAGAAAGAGGCAGAGGAAGAAAGGACTTGGTGTTCATGTTACTCTCATTACACTGCCTAACTCTCCTTTTTCTCTTAACTCTCAGAAGAAAACAAACAAACAAACAAACAAAACAGAAAAGAAGAAAACAAATAATCTCTTCTCCAGAATTATTTGTGAGGAAAGTGGATGCACTGGGACATGAGATTAGGGGAGGAGGAGAAGAGGGAAGGCTGTATTTAGACACCAGTGACATGTGGGGTTTGTCTTGCACAGAGCAGCACCCTGCATTAAACACCTCCAGGTTATGGCAGCAAGAATTGCCATAAAATGAGCTCAGCCTCTGGAATATACTCCAAAAGCATAGCATATGGGCTAGGGACACCCGTTTAATTAATGTAGAAACTTCAAGGAAACTGCTTGCAGTCTAAACTGGACCTGCTCCAGCATATACTTGGCCCTGTATAAATTGGAGTGGGGATGAGAAATTTCCCCTCCTTCCCAAGATGCTTTCCCATTGAAGGGGAATTGAGCCTTGTGTAGCTCTTCAGAGAGTTGCCGGATAAATGGGCAGAGGCTGGAGGGAAGGCTCCATAGGGAAGATTTATAGTCCATCAAAACCCACTTCAGTTCTTCTGAACTGCTTTCTCTGCTTCATCCTTTCCAGGGACAGCCTGGAACAAGAGGTTTTCCTGGATTCCCGGTAAGTGTAACTACTAGTTTATGAGGTATGGGTGTGCAATAGCAGTAGGAAACCTCGTTAGTGCTTGCTGTATCTCGTAATTTTTGTCTAAAATCAAGTACCTGATCTGGTATCACTGGAAAAAGTAATTTTTTCTTCCTTTGTTTTCCTTCCTTTGTTTTTTCTTTTAAATGATACTTAGGGAAAAAAACCAAACCCCCAAACCAAACAAACCACACAACTCCGAAAGGAAATTAATTTAAAAAACCCCAACCCCCCAAGTGTTAAAATAACATAGTTGAAGCCAGATCTGTTCAGTAAAAGAAAACCATCCTAAGAAATATCCCCAAACAAAGAAAATAACCCTTAGGTAAGTGAAATTCCAACCTTAATTGAGCCTTTAGGTGATATTGCAGTATTACTAAGCGCCTCTGACCCAAAGGGGGTCCTGCATGACGCAGGTCAGCTATGGGCCTTGCTAGGCAGAACACCCCAGTCATACCAAAGCGAAAGGACAAAAAATGATAGGGAATTCTTCTCCAACACTGTTACAGAGGGGCAAGGGAACAGAAAACAAGCCCAGGCGAGGACAAAGCAAATTTCATTTCAGTCCTAGAGTTGCTGGAAACAGTCTCTGACGCGTTGAGGCTGCTGGAGAACTCAAATGGTTGCTATTTATTCTTACGCATTTATCCTGGACAACTAGGAAGCCTAAAGCAAACACAAACACCCCCCACTTCCCTGCTTCTGCCAGACGGCTCAGCTGTTGCTCCAGGACACACGATGTGCCGGAGCAGGTTGGCGGGGGAGACTCTCACGCCTGGAAAATGGGAGGAATTGGCAGCATCTGAACTGCCTGACTGGGCTCCATGGCTCTGCCCTTTACAAAAAAGGGAGCTGTGAGCTGCCCTGGGCTGAGGAGAAGCAGATTTCTCTAGGCCCTTGTGGTCTTTGGCTTTTGGAGGAACAGAAAACAAATCAGCCCAGCTCATGAGAAAGTGCTGGCTGGGACAGTGTTCTGTGGAGCCTATTTCTCATCAAATGCTACCTTCAACATGCTGCTGAGCTGTGGGTCACCTCTTCCCTGGGACACTTTTATTATTGTGTCACTTTCAAAGATTCATTTTCCCCCATTCCCCCAGAGGTGGGTGCCTTTTAAAATCAAAGTCTCAAGAAAACTGTTGATTTTCAATGAGTTTACAGGATGTGGCAAAACGTGAAATGCTGAGGGTTTTTTGCAAATTTCCATGAATTCCTCCTCCTTCCTCTCCCTTCTTGTGTCCAGTGTTGCTGTTGAAATGGGGTGACAGTGATCAGGTCCTTGCAGAAGCAGTTGGGAAGCTGGGCAGGTACTCAGTGGGCCAAGGACCTGCCAGGACTTGGTGGGGGGGCAGAGAGGGTCACCTCTCCTCTATGTCCTTACTCCAGTCCATGCAGTCTTGCAACACATAGTGCTTTCCAGGGCAGATGGACAGAAACCCCAGTGAAAGCATCTCTCGTAATGTTCTTTTTTCTTTCAGGGCCCTATCGGCTTGGACGGCAAACCGGTAAGCAAACAGCTTCTCTCAAGGCTTTCTGCCCTGCCTTCTGTTAGGTCCCTCTGTCCTGCCAGCCTGCGTGTTACAGAGGATGTTTTTAAGAGGATTATTTTGCAATGTCATGCACATGCATGGATTAGAAGAAAATCAGAAGGTTGGCAGTTAGAAGGATACCACAGATGCCTTGGGGGAGATGGAGAAGTCAGGAGATTAGTGAAGTCAGAGTGTGGCTGCTTCCTTTCTAGGCAAATCTATAAAATAGCACTTCACAAGTGCAACAGCCTGGCTGCAGCAGGGAAGGCCTTAGCAGGCACTCCCACCTCAATCAGAGAGACAGATCAGGTCCTCAAGGCACCAGCCCTCTGCCTAAGACAGCCTACAGCTTCATGTGATGTTGACCCTACAGCTTCTTTCTCTTTCCTGTTGTGCTTCAAAGAGTTGCAGTAGAAGAGGAAAGGACTCTAAAGACCTCCGTGTTGTTCTTCGGGCCTCCTTATAATCAGCTTTGTAGTAGAGAGTTCTTCCCATCCTTAGAGAGCTAAGCACAACTGTAGCTACTTCCCTATGAACCAAACTCACATGAAACCCATAGCTCCAGACAGCCACTTAGACAGGTTGCCCACCCTGCTTCCTCTAGCCATGCTGTAATGGAGAAAGGGCTGGTAGCACATATTTCTCGCATCTCATTTCCTATAGCAGGACTCTGTTTTTGCCATGAGGAACATCACTCTCAAAAGAGACCCAGCAGCTTCTCTCTTGTACTGCCCTAAAAATGTACACTTGAGTCCCAGTAAGGTGCAATACCCTGCACTCAGCTGAAGTAGCTCTGTCAGCCCCAGGAGGGGCTTAACAACGTCCTAGTCATGCCCCAAGGAGCCTTTGCACTCCATATTCATTCTCTAGAGCTTTGTCTCAGCATTGTGGGTAGCAGGAAGTGGCTTCCTGTTAGGTGTGGAAGCAAAGCTCCACATGCACAGTGTTGTATTTCCTTTGACAAGGTATAGTAACTTCAGGCACCTCCTGAGGCAAAGAGTTAAGTGGGTTAGGTCAACATCTTCCAGAGACTGCAGTGGTTGAAGCTGATGCATGTTTTCTTTCTTTTGCAGGGTTACCCTGGACAGAAGGGGGAGATGGTAAAATGTATTTTTATCTCCTGGTTTGACATGATGTTGCCTCTCAGCAGGAAACGAGCTCATAGGCAGAGTAGAGATCTTAGTTCAGCTAATGCACTAGTGGTGTCCCTAATTCTGTAACTTCATAATAGCAGTGCTTGGATGCACATCTGTAATTTTTACATTATGGCTATCAGATTCATCTTGTCACAACAGCTACTCTCTAGTTACACATGGGATATGTTTTCCTTGCAGTTTGCAATTACGTTCTTTAAATATACTCTGGGAGCCGACATTTTTCGTGGTTGGCCTCATAGCAGAAGTAAAAGTTGATGGAAAGATTTCTGAAAACCCATCTGGCAGTTTTCAACTTATCTAACAACAGAAAAACACCATATTTTTTGTATTAAATATTTTTTTTTCCCTCGTGAAGCTGTTTCATGTGTGCATCATACTAAAATGTTTTTGGTTGAAAATGATAAACTTAGGCTGCACTCAATGGAAACCTAAATGAGGTCTTGCTCCTCTTGACATCTCTGCTGATGAGATCCCCAAACATGAGTACGCCAAGCTAGTAGCTCTGTAGTTACTTTTGCTCACTGAAAAGCTGAACGTTTTCTTCTGCTATTTCTGTTTCTTGAGCTTGAGTGTCAGTATAACCCTCTGGCAAACACAAGTTGAAGATCCCCTTCTCTGGTGGAGGGGTGAGCTGACATCCCCTTTTTGTGCAATCCTAGCTCAGGCAGTTACAGCTCAGGCTTCAGTCCTGACTGCTTCTGTTTCAATCCCAGTGCATTGACCAAGGAGATGCGCTGTCAACTGAGGTCCTGGGAAAAATAAGGGTGTGTTTTCCTGGTTATTTTTCCCCTCTCCTTTTAATAATTCCCCCCTGTGGTGCAGCCAGAACATGCGTGCATTTTCACTCCTCCAGAGTAACAAAGAGAACCCAGATCTCTTGGGAACTTTATCCACAATTGTTTTTAAAAGCTGAGTTTCCACCTACTCCATACACTGAGAGTTTCTGTCTTCTTGTCACTGTAAATGGGAATCCATCTCGCATTCACAACTGTGTTTCTTTAAAGGGTGCTGCAGGTCCCAGGGGACAACCCGTAAGTATCTTGCAATCACACCTCCTCCTAATCCCTTTCATCTCGCATGAACTGAACTTCCTAATTTACTGACTTTTTAATCACTTTTCTTTTATAGGGGCCCCCAGGACAAAAAGGAGAAAAGGTAACTTTAATGAGAGATATGTTGAAAATTAAATGTAAAATGTGAGGAAGGAAAGAACTCACTGGAGTTGGTGCTGATCAGCCTGACTGAATGGCTAAGAAATGCAGCAAGAACATAGGGCTCTGGGGCTAAAGGGACAGGAGGCAGAATGCTTGCTGGGTACAAATTGGTATAGCTGCACTGAATTCAGTAGAGTCACAATTATTTACACCATCTGGGTCTGATCCCATGTGTCTATTTTGGTGCTCTCTGTTCATGGTTTAAACTCGTTCCTTTTAATCCCATTCTTTCACAGGGTCAGTGTGCAGAGTACCCGCACAGGGTAAGTAATTAGCGTTATTATCATCTGCCCCATACCTTCCTGCATGTTAATCCTCCTTTGTTTGGATGGCTTTTTTGTTGGAAATATAGGTCGTTTCATTAACAAGATGCATCACCTGGGCCCTGAGGGCAGTGCTTGGCTGATTGAAGTGTTTCACAGAAAAGCAGCAGATAAGGTTTTCCAGGAGGGGTGTTGGTTCTCCGGTCTGTTCCTGGCCACTGGGCTCACCCCCAGCTAAATGGTGCTGTTGCTGCTTCTTTGAGACCCTCCCATGGTTCTGTGCCAGAGCAGGGAAGGTCTGTGTCCTCACCCCAAAACCCAACGAAACCTGGGATTTCTGAAAGAGTGAGCACACTCACGCCTTGTGTTGCTGCACCGTCTCTGTCCTGCTTCCTCAGCCTCCACTGCAGGTGTGTGGCCAGGAGCAGTATGTCGTTTGCGGACCTTGGGGAAAATCTATCATCATTACTTCCTTTTTCTTCTCTCTCATGCTGGTTGCAGCCCTCCACAGAGGCAATGGGAAGGGTCGTGCTTCCTTGCCAAAAATAACCCTGATCGCCCCTGACCACAGTGCTCTGGCTGGTTCCTGATGAGCTGGTGCCCATACCCAGTCCCCAGGCTGGTGGGCTTTCTGCTTGCAAAGAGACAGAGAAGGAGGGTTGATGCTGGCAACAGTTTAACAAAAGCCAGGATGTTGCCCCACTTGCCTCTTTGTCCTGGACTGGCTGGCATGTACCACAGCCAAGAGAGAAGAAAGTACATCACGGGGTTTGAGGGGATTACAGTGGTAAAATTTAACCAGCTCTAAAAACAACCAGAGCGCTGAAAATCCACTGGAAATGCATTGGAACAACATCATATGAAGCAGCTGGAATTTGTAATCTGGGTGTACAGGGAGATAGGCTTAAGGGCTTTCTGTTTATTTTGATGGCCCTCTGAACAATTAGGTGGGCTCTGGTCCCTGGCCCTGAGGGAGCAGGGCCCTGGATGCTCCAAGCAGCAAAGACAGGAGAGAGCTCAGCTGGCAGCAAGACAGAAGGGAGCCATTGGTCTGTGCCAGTCCCAGTACAATAATAGCTGGTCAGCTGTGTTTATTTAGGCTAGTGGGCTCACTAGATTGTTATGTTAAAAAGAAGCTAACAACAATGCTCACCGGAGTAGTGTCCTGGCTTCCCGTTACAGCCCTTGGCCTAGGCTGTCCTCAGTGCTCAAGGTGAAAAACAGCCTCAGGACCTGCAGCAACACTGGGAAATGGAGATGCAGCTTGTACATCACTGGGAGTAGCCAGGCTCATGCCTGGGGGCAAAGGCACGCTGGTTTGGGGTTGGGGTTGTAGGCACGCAGGGTGACATACTGCAGGGCTGTGGCAGTGAGGAAAGGGTGAGTGCAAAGCCCCACATCCCAGCAAAGCCTAGCGATGTTTCCCTGGAGATACTTCTGGTCTCATGAAGCAGCAAGCTCAACATTTTAAAAAGCCCACGAGTTGTTGCAAGGCAGAAGCATGCTCAGAGGAAGGGTGACTGTCCTCAGATCAGCTCAAGGGTGGGCAGTTCTGAAGGGTCTGGTCACAGACTGCAAGTTCATGGAGGCTGAGGCACAAAGAGCAACAGAGGTGCAGTTCTCTCTCTTCCTCCCAGAATCAAAATGAGGATGAGCTTTGTTGTAAAAATGCTACACATTTGACTGAATTTCAATTTGCACTTGCTTTATTGGTTGGCAAAGTCCTTTGTCAGATATTCTGAGTGAGGAAATGAAATCCGGCATCCTGAAAATCCAGGGATGTTGTTTCAGTTTTGTTTTGCCTTTGTTTTCTTAGGAAGGAAATATAAGGTTAGGACATACGGATTGCCTCTTGTTGTGATTTCCTATTTTTATTGAGTGAGCCTGTACAGCCTGCACTGCTGTGAGGGATGAACCTGGTAGTGTGGCTACACATTCTGTGTGGCTGCGTGAGGTGCTTCGAAGTGCTGCCCTGATGAAGGGCACTCAGCTCAGGGAAATGGGAGATCAGACATGCTCCATGTGCTCTCAGAAGTGCTGTGTGTCTAACTGACCCCATTTGTGTCATGTGTCTTCGCTGTTCCCTAGGAATATCTAAGTACCACCCTTGCAGCCCTGCGCTCTAACCAGATCCTTACGCTGAAGGTTTGTGGGTAACGATCTGATGGGACCCAGTTCTGATGCAAAGGCTCGAGGATGCGGATCCAATATTACATGCTGTCTTCTGACGAAAGCTTGCCATTGAGACATAGAAGGGGCAGGGCAGGAGCTGTGTGGAAGAAGCTTCAGGTTTCTTCTCTAAAATCTCCCACTTGCACCTGAATCCACTGCTGGGTCTTGTCTCACCTCTGTTTTCAGGACTGCTTTTCTCCACTTTCCTCCTTATCCTTTCCAGCATCCTCCCTGCTTCTCTGTAAGCTGCATAGTATTTCAGCACTTGAGGAGCCAGGTAAAGCCAGCTCGGCTGGGTCTGGGTCGCTCGCACAGATGTGCTAAGTACACTTAGCACAGAGGTGTGGGGATTTACAGCAGCATCTCCCTTGAGAAGATTAACACAGTCCCACATGCTCTCCTGGGCTATGGGGCCTCCTGCACTGTCTTTTAGAAAGAGAAGGATTTCCTTCAGATAAAATCAGGGTAGCTGCATTTCCAGCACCTTCTGTTGTGATAGCTTGTGGCTGTCTGGGTCATCGCATTTGCACATAACTGCCTGATCACAGGGCAGCAGTGCTGCAATATTGGGTTGCTGCTTCACTTTGCAATAGGACTGGGTCCTTACTTTCACTGCAAACATGAAGAACAGTGTTTCAAGTGATTAAAGTGCACTTTTTCAGTGCGTATGGTTGCTGTGGTGGGAAACCTGTGGGCACACCTCTCAGATCTGAGTGCACAGCTCACATGGGGAAACATTGCATGCAGGGGCACATTTTTGTGTCTGAGCATAGAAAGCATCTTTTCCCTGTGTAAATCAAGAGCAGCTTTAATGGAAAACTGATAGGAACAGGAAAGTGGATCTGTCCAGAGGAGCATTCCTGGGCTTGGAGCCGGCATGGTGGGTGCCAGGGTGACAGGAGCATGCATGTAAGTGGAAACTAGATACAGCAGAAGGATGAACAGATGCTTCTGAGCTTTAGTGCATCTGATTTCTGTGTGTCCAGGTCAGCTTTGTGCCCTAAGGCAGCATTCCTATCTATAAGCAGTCAGAGGATGATATTACTGTTACACAAGGAAAAGCAAAGCATAGGCTTCAAAAGCAATACCCTGCTTAGGACTCAGACACCAAGGCCTAGTCTTTTCCTGTGGCCATGATAGAATGAACCCAGCTAAATGAACCACATGCTGGCCCTGGTGCCTTCTGTTGACCCCTTCTACCCTTTCTTCACTCCTACCCCTGGAAGAAGGGTGATGCCTGGAGATAAAACGTGTTTTTTTGTAATGAAATATGGATAGAAAGGAAATCACACTTGGAAAATTTGAAGAAAATTTTCATTTTGATAGTTGCCTCAAATCTGATGTTGAGAAATTAAAAGGAACAGTCCTGTCACTAGGGAGTTTAGCAGAGCCCGTGGGGGGATGTCATGTAGTAAATACTGCCTGAGGAGATCAGTAGAGATGAGTCAACCCTCACCCCCAGGCAAGTTTAATTTCCAGAGAAAAGCAGTAAAAGCTCTATGTGGTGGGAGCATCAGGTTGGCAAGTGCAGCATCACTTGCCAGTGCTGGCACGTGACAGGTCCCCCCCTGTGAGCAATGCGTGGCACGGAGGAGCTCAGAGGTCTGCTGGCAGGTACCTGTACTGTGCACCCTCCGTGCATGGCTCTTGTGGGTGGGTATTTTTACAGCAATCTCTCTGTTCCCCTCTTCTCTGTTCTCTCCCCTGGCTGCTCTCTGACTCTCGGTGCCCTAACGGCCTTCTTTGTGCTGCAATCTTCTGGTTTGATCTTCTTCAGCTGTTGCCTCTCCTCAATTCAGTGCGGCTGGCTCCACCTCCGGTCATAAAGAGACGCACTTTCCAGGTAGATTTCTCCTCGTTGCCTGTTTCTAAGCTTACCCCAATGCTTGCAATTAATTAGATTGTTACCTGTCTTTCTTACCTACATGGGCTTTCCAAGAGGTTCAGGCAGAGCTGAGGGACTTTCTTTGAAGCAGGGGAAATCTTTGCTGTGATAATGTGGCTAAAAAGGAGTCCAGTGAAGCCAGTTTTCTAAACTAGAAGAAATGGGCCATGAAACTGTTCTCAGACTGTCAACAAGCAGCCTCCTACATTATGGAGTCAGTTCCTGCATATTCAATCTTCAGAAGAGGTTAGAAACCTCTTGCTGAAATGCAGCTAACGTCTGTGAAACTTAACTGAGATGAATGAATAGGCAAATACTTCTTCTATGGGCTAGTCTAGTCTGAGACACTTGGGAAAATGTGTTTAAATAAGCTGTTATAATGGTTTCATTAAGTTGCATTAAATCTTTGTGTAAACACATTTATTTTGGTTTCCAGGGCCATAATTCATGTTTAGTTTAGTTTATTTTGGGAATGAATTCATAAGATGAATTACAGACATATGAAGAGTGAATAAGAGTGTCCATAGTCAGAGTTCATGTGGCTTTTAATGAGCCCACTTTGAGCTCCCTCGTTCATCAATTGGGATTAACTTTCCCGTGTGGACAAACCACTGTAATTACCCCACTGAAGTGTGCTGGGCACCCTCTATTAAGTGGCTTGGTTTTGTCACCCTGCTGCCTGTCTAGACAGTCAGATGCTAGCGGGGAACTGCCATCTGCACTACAGGCCTTTACCACGAGGTGCCTAGTCCTTGCCCAGTGCTGGCAAAGTCCTGACCTTATCACTTGAGCCTCTGGTCTCAATTCAGTTTCTATCGATTCAGTGTTTGCAACACACAAAGCCCCATGGATTGCTCTGGTCAGCCTTCAAAGTGACAGTCTGGAGAGCCAGGCCAACGACTGACCTCTTGGGAAGGCTTTGAAAGCTGATGTTCGTATCCAGGATGAAGTGGGAAACTTGAATAGCTGCCTTGTGTCCTGTTGTCAGCCAGGGCTGCAAATTCCCTCTGTCCCCAGAGGGTAACTTCACTGGAGAATTTTGCCATGATTGGTTTTGCTGTTGCTGTATTCATTCTCTAAGTGTAACAAAGTGTAATCCACTCCTACAGATCTGCCAGCACCTGGCAATTCCAGGAGCTCAACGTATGAATACTAAGAAAATATGTGAGGCTGCAAAATAAATGTTAGCACCGTGTCTGAGAGGGGAAAATGCTGCTGCTGTCCTTAAGCACATCAGCAAGAGGGCTTTGCCCAAAGGCTTAGGCTTAGCAGAGACACGGGCTGAGTGTAGACCTGTGTTAGGAGGACGAGCAAGCATTGCATTGCTGGGCCTGAAGCAGGGTTGCTAAACGGTGTTTAAAAGAACTGAAAAATAGCTCCAGTTAATAGCTAATAGTATAGAATCATAGAGTCATAGAATGGTTTGGGTTGGAAGGGACCTTAAAGATCATCTAGTTCCAGCCTTCCTGCCATGGTCACTGATCACTTACACTAGACCAGGTTGTTCAAAGACCAACCCAGCCTGACCTGAAACATTTCCAGGGATGGGGCAGTCACAGCTTCTCTGGGCAACCTGTTCCAGTGCCTCAGCACCCCCATAGTGAGTATTTTTTTCATAATATCTAATCCAAACCTGCCCTCTCAGTTTAAAGCCCTTGTCCTGTCACTACATGTCCTTATAAAAAGTCCTTCTCCAGATTTCTTGTAGGTCCCCTTAGGCACCAGAAGCTGCTCTAAGGTTTCCCCAGAGCCTTTTCTTCTTCAGGCTGAACAAGCTCAGCTCTCTCAGCCTGGAGACACCTGACGAGAATGACACCTGATCTCCAATTTACTGTATCCATTTACCATCCGGTTAGACCTGTGGTGGTCCTTTTGTGCTGAATACATTAGTAAGAGTATAATGATGTGATAATAACATTTTGCATGTTTAGGAATCTGCATGGACAGGCACTCACTTAGACAAAGCACACTCTGTTCAAGGCAGCAAAGTGAAGGCAATGCAAATGGGAGTTTGGGTGAGCTCCTTCCAGCTGCTCCCTGTGCTGGGGCAGGGCTCCTGCTCTCCACATCTCCCTGTACCCTGCCAGGGTGCCAGCACCCCTTCACAGCCCTATGCTGTGTTATAATGTCCTAAATCTGGAGCATGGACTGGGCTGACAGAGAGTAGCTGAGATGGGAATAGAGGAGGGAGAATCAATGAGAGACAGGAAAAGCTCCGTTGTCTTCCCATGGTGGGGGTGCTGTAATATGCATGTACTTGTTAGTGCACCCTTGATGGGAGTGATGTAAGATGCAATGGGAGTGAAATCTCTGAAGCTGGGCTGCAAGGTCAGCGCAAGAAGAAATCTAGAAATACACTCCAGTGCCCTCCAAACGTCTTGTCTTCATTGGATGCAAATTCCCTCAGAAATTTAAAAGCAGTGAGACCATTTACAGGACAGTTAAATAGCACTGAGTATGGAGGATAGGGAAGCTCCGGAAGGATCCTGTATCCCCTTGCATGTGCCACAGGGTGAGCCAGGATCCACTTACAAAACAGGGAAAAGAGAGGGCACCTTTCCTGCCTGGCCCAGCAGGCTTCCCAGCACAGGCTGTGGGTTGTTGGCAGTGTGGTGTCTCTCCCACGGAGAAGGGCTCTTGCTCCACATGACTGAACTTCCTGTGAGCCTAGCCTGTGTTTTGGAAATTTTAAATAGAACTCATGGCAGAAGGGATGAAATTTGCAGCTTATTACTTTCATTTATCATTATAAATAGAACAAACATCCCTGTATCTGTGTATTTTACCAAAGGCAGCCAGGATAAAGAGCACACTTGGTAGGAACACACACAGGGGACAGATTTCATGCATTCTCCTGCACACACAAGTGCGTGAGAGCAGACTTAGTTTTACCCAGTAGCAGTGTATAAGGCTGTATAGAGGATAAATGCAGCAGAGACCCAACTGCACACCCATTGATTTATAATTGAGAAACAACCATGTTTGACATCCAGCTTCCCGTGGATCCACCCGGGAGAGGTTTTCAAATTTAAATTGGGTCTCCACCAGTAGGATGTCATGGTATTTTATCTAGGGAGGGGGAGTGGGAGGGGAGCCCACAAGACTAACAGCTTAGCATGGGTGCTGCAGTGCCTTAGGATTCATCAATTATAGATCAGCAGTCTGGTATTCAAACGTGGCGCTTCCAACCCACTGTCTCCTTCAGCGCCGCTTGATCCCAAGACGAGGTCCTTTGGGCCAGATGACATTGCTGAGGCATGAGCCACAGCCACCAAATGGCTACTGAAGGGTCTGGGGAGGAACCGGCTGAAACAGCTTTATTTCAGGGAGCTTAAAATGGCAGGTGACTCTGCATGTGCTAGCTTGTTAAATCTTACAGAACCAGGCTCTGCCTGGTGTACATAGGCCTGTTCTGGGCAGGCTCCAGAAATGCCGTGATGATCGTGTTATTTTCTTTTGGCTTCGTGGCATTTCTACTTTTGGTCCTTGGCAAAACAAAGGGATATATTTGTCCAACAAATATAGCATAGGGAAAAAAATAGGCTGAGGTAAGACACTGTGGTTCTGCCTGGAAGTGCCAGGGTGGTCACGGGAGGCTTTGCTTCACATATGACTGTCAAGTGCTTTGGAAAGCCTCCTGAGAAGCTCAGGAGATGTTTGTCCATGACTTTATAAATTGTACTTGACTGAATGGAGAAAAAGATCTCTTTGAACTGCTCAGTCATCTGTAGATCCCTTTTAAAGAGAGGTCTAACAAGGTGGCCTCAGATGTCTTCGCGAACTGTAGGGTGGTGGCTCCTGCTGCCCAGGCAGCCTGGCCATCCTCAGCAGGTCTCTCCCTTACTCTTGGAAACCTCTTCTAGCACTAACCTGGGACTTGTTCTACCTCTTCTGCTTCAGCCAGTCTGACCTGCTTTGAGCCTCTGGGCTGGTGGGGTGAAAGGTTTGCTCTGCCTGCTCATAACCCGTTGTTTTAACAAACCACAGGGTGAACAAGGACAAGCAGGAATCCAAGGTCCCCCAGGCCCTCCTGGTCCACCAGGGCCGGCTGGACCGGCTGGACCTGAAGGAATCCCAGGGCAGCCTGGGCCAATTGGACCACCTGTAAGTATAATTACAAAAAAACCTTCTGCTTCCTGTTTCCTTAGGGCACAACTTTCTCTGTCCTTTGTTGCCTCTCCTGAAGCCAAGATAGCCACAGACAGGAGATTTGTAGGGGATGTGGATGTGTGTGGAGGAAGAAGTTCTCAGGAAGGAGGGGGAGCGTTAGGGAGAGTGGAGGTGTGCACCCAGCATTGTTGCTATCTGGACACACAAGGGTGAGTGGGTGACACCAAGGCTCATTTCCTCCTCCTCAAGCTCTGCAAAGGGACACAGGGAGGAAGTATCATGAAGGGTGTAACTGTCCTGATCACAGCAGAAACCTGGCTGATAAGCATCCCTGTGACTCCTTTGAAGCCCTGCCTCTGTCCTGTTCTCAGGCTGGTAACAAGCAGCCAAGGAGGGCAAGACCAGAAGCACTGTTTAAAACAATACCATTGCTGAATGGCAGGGTACAGCAGAAAATCTTGCTGAGGTACCTCTCTCTTCCAACAGGGCATAGCTGGAGAACCTGGGAAGCCTGGCAGAGATGGAAAGGTGGGTACCAGAAACCCTTCCTGGGAGCTGCAGGGAGAAACATGACATGCTGGCCCCACAGTTGCTGCAGCATGAAAGGGTTTTCCATCTCAGAGTTTTCAAGGCCTGCTAGCAGGACAAGCAAGTGTTGTCCCCAAAAGCACCTCTCCACACAGAATATAGGGGTCAGGTATCCTGTAAACATCTTCAACTGTCTTTGAGCTCTGAGGAGCCAAAGATGTGATCACTAAACATTTTAATTACTATAAGCAGACGACATCAAGGGTGGTATAGAGTGGTTTTCTCCTATCTGCTCACATCAGGAAAGCAGCTCCTGGATGGATATTGTGTTTATTTACATTTACATACACATATATCTGGTATGCTTTGTGGTGCATATCAGGTAAATTGTTCAGTTATTTCTGATTTTAAAACACAAGTGGTTTGTTAATATGTTCTCTCCATTTACGTTGTCAGAGAAAGCTGCAGACACCTGATTTACTCCAGAGCTGCACAGTGGGCTTGGAACAAGTTTCCCAAGTAAATGCAAAGAAACAGAAAATATTCTATAGCACAATGAATAAGGCAAAGCAGCTTTTTGGCCTTTGGATTCAGCAAGACCAGGCCTGGGGGGATGGAGCACTATGGGCATGAACTTACTTGTGTATATGGGTTAAGACAGTATTCATCTACATGAAGAACAGATGGGGGATGTTTGTGCTCACCAGTGCAAATCATCTCTATAAAGAGGCATTTCAAACCAGTCATCATCTCCCACCACCCTGCAGCCCGTATAATGTCTACATTTGCCAACTCCAGTGTTTGTTATGATTTTATCTGCAGGGCTTACCTGGGCCTCCTGGACCAAAGGTGAGACATCTCGCCTCACTTAGAGGTAGAAAGATACTAAACAGAGGTGGACACTCCTGGCAACAAGATATGTGTACATTTTGTTGGGAGGAGGAGGGGGAAGGAGGTTACATCAAATAGCTGAGAAAGATTTCTAACCCAGCTCGGTATTGCCTTTGGGGCCTGGCCCATTGCTGACTCACGGGTTTTATCCAAGCGACATGTCTGAGTCACATCTTGACTGAGCAAGGCACGCCTCATCAGCCCCTCTTGCAAAATTGTTTGCCACACACAGCTTTATTGGCTTCTTCCATTCTCAAAGCGTTTACCAGCGCTTCAGGAACTGATTTTGCAACGCTATTGTTAACTCCACCACGGTTTCCCATTTATTCACTTGCCAAAATGCGAAGGAGGGGGTGGTTGTTGTTGTTTTTCAGCTGCTGCCACCCAACCCCATTTGTTTTTATTTGAGATATGTACCCAGGGTGAGGAGATGGGAAACACAGAGCTGAGGCACAGAGCTGGCACTGTTGTTCAGCTGCCAGTGCTTGTTGTGCCTTTCCTGCTAGGGCTCAGTCTAGTGCAGGTAACAGTGACCCACAGGTCTGAAGGGTCAGGAACCTAGTGGAGTCACTCTGAGCAAAAGGTGAATTTTCCCCATGGAATGCCCTTCTATTCCAGCGTCACCCAGGGAAATGGGCAGGCATTTGTCCTTCTCAGGTCGAGCCTCACTTTCTTTTGTCTTTTTGCCTTTTGTAGGGGGACCCTGGGATTCAGGGATACCCTGGCAGAAAGGTAAGAGGGGAGCTGCAATATTGTCTAATGATTTAAGCTGCACTGATGCCTTGTGGGGTCACAAATGCAAATCTGTGGACTCCTCCGGAGCCCTCTTATGAGCTCTCCTTCTGCTGGACATAGGGCTGTAACTGGCACAGAGATCCCCTGCTGTCACTCACATTAGGAGAAGCTTGGACCCAGTGATACCCTTAGCTTTCTAGTAGCTATGGGCCGGGCATCTCCCCATCTGTGTGCCTCTTTAAACCCACTTCCAGGCTGAAGGCTCTTGTGCATCCAGACCTGAACAAGAGACTGGAAAGGGCCAAATCCCTGGCTATGTGCTGCTCACTGGAATAAATCAGAAACGAGTCAATCCTGCTCCAGGTTAAAAGGCAGAAGCTGGCAATGCCCAAATATCTCCAGCAGCAGCTAACTAACAGCAGGGTTGTCAAGTCCAGAGGGTGTAATGAAAAGACAGAAAGAGTGACAGCGAAAGGACACAAGGAAAGATCAAAGGGGAGAGAGAGAATGGGGAGTACTACTAAAGGGATGTCAGCTGGAGAAGGGAAAGGCAAATGTTCCCGGCAGGCAGGAGTCCTATGTCCTGTGTTACCTCCACATTGCTTTACGGGTGCTCTGTGAGCAAAAGGCAAGACCTGAGAGCTTTTTAATTAGTTCTGTATAAACTGAGAAGTTTTTGTTATGTCAGGAAGTGGAAATTATAGCCCTCACAGACCACAGCCCACTCCTGCAGACAGACACGATTTATTGCCTCTTCTTCCAGTGAACCGTTGTTTTTTCCATTAAGAGCCCATCCTGTCCTGTGTGTGCTGGGGGGGGGTGGCTCTCAGCACACAGGAGCAGTGAGGGGGTCCCTGTGATGACCTCGCAGTGAGGGCCTCTCCTATTAGCTCCTCTTACATGAAACAACTTGTCTGGCTAATTTACTTACCAAGCAAAGAGCCTGCACTGATCCCAGAGGAATGAGCCTGAGGTTGTGACCTTCCTCTGGGAAAGGTGGAAGGAATGGATGAAAATAGTGGAGAAGATCTTCCCTGGCGAGTCGGTCAGGGGAAAGGGAAAAGAGGGTAAAGAGCTGAGCAAAGGTGTGATACAGGATTGTGGGACCACTCCCTTCAGTCCATTTATTTCTCACCCTAAATATCTTGATGCAGAATGGTGCTCCTCTCCCAGAGAGACCCACATGGTAGGTTGGTGTGTGGTGGGTGCCCCTGTATGGGACATCTTTGCTGACCTTTCAGGCTGTCCACAGTCTTCTTTTCTTGCTGCTCACTGTGTTTGCTTCTTCCTCCTTTTTCTTTCTTCTCTTCCTCAGGGTGAGGTGGGTGAGTCAGGCCTGCCTGGTGCACATGGCCTCCCTGGAGCTACTGGCCCCAAGGTAACCCTTAAACTCAGAGTCATTTGGGCCATCTCCCAAGAACAGATAAGTGGCACACAAGCTTAGAGACATGCTAAAGGAATAAAGAAGTTCAGGGGCTGGAGGCAGTTCTCTAGAGACTGGTATGAGCCACGTAAAGAGAAAAACTCACTCCTATGTAAAAAGCATGGGCAATTTTGGCCAGTGATTGCCTCCTGTCCAGAACTGGGGTCAGGTTCAGCCCTGCACAGGCCCCCGTTAAAGACTAACCCAGCCTTTAAGGGCTTTGCATTAAGGCTGGGAGAATGAAGATACTCTGGTCCATGAAATGGTTTGATGATTTGTCTACAACTCAAAACATGTAGGAAAGCATTAGTATGGGTGACCTCTAGCATCCAACAATGGAGCTCTAGCCCACCCAGGGAGGGGTGGGCTGCAGCTAGTGTTCAGGCTGGTACCATGTTATTATCAGGAGCCAGTTCTCTCTGGAGGCCTGGGTTGTGTTTGTCACACACTCCGGCTTTCAGCTACTTTCTCTACTGCTCTCGTAACAATTGTACTGCTTGCTCAATTTCTCTTTATGCTCACCATCCTTCTCTCTGTTTCTTCTCTTTCTCTCCTTCGCGTGGCAGGGTGAAAAAGGGGACACTGGCATAAAGGTAGGCATGAGAAATACGGTTTTTCTAACATGGTAGATCATCTGGGAGATACTGCTCCTTGGGCTGATAAATTGTAAGAGGAAGTTGGATCTAAGGCAGCCCTGTGGGGTATTTAATGGAGTACACATCTGTGCTCTGATTAACCACAGACAGACACTCCAAGCTCAGGCAATAAAGGCAGCCTTTATCCATTTGGTGGAATTTGATTCTTACCAAAGGCATTTCTCTGACTATGAAGCTTGCTAATGATTTGTTACTTCTCTCCATTTGATGGGCTAGGTTGGGGTTTCCTCATAAAATCTGGTTAGCTGACGCATCAAATCCACTCAAACTCTGCAACTCAGGCTGAGGCTTGGCACCAGGCTTTTCTATCTGTTTCTGAACACTTTTTACGGGCTCATATGGACTATGCCCAGATGTTATCTATTTGACTGAAATTTACTGTACCCGTATATTTAAAGTATATTACTCAATGTAGGCTGTACTTAAAACATTACAACACTGGCAAGTGTTCATGGCAGTCAGAGCATACTGTGTCATGCCATACATTTTAAAGAAGAAAGGCTGGTCCTGTAATATTTTGAAAGGCATTAACACTGACACATAGATTTCAAGCATTTAGTACATGGCATACACCTCGTTTATCATGCAGCATATACATTTTCTATATTTTTTCCATCTGGGTGGACTATTTGAAGACAGCAAAGGTCCCTTCCGAACTTAACATGGATGTGTTACATCACGTTTAAAGAAATGTTTTGAAATGCAGGCTCTGGGTTGAATAGAACAGCAGTGATTCTCCTCAGAAATACTGTGGTGCATGTGAAGTCTGAAGGTTTCCACATGGCCATCTTCATATCAGTGTAATTCCATTGAGCACAAAGGTGTTGCTTCAGGTTTGTGCCAGTGTAAGTGAAAGCAGAATTGCACCCAGAACACGTGTTTTGAGACAGAGTTTGCTGCTGCCTCAGCAGCCAAGTGCTCTCTCTTAATGTAAGCTGAACTGGATGGAAGACTGAAGTTAGAGCATGGCTTGGGAGGGAGAAAAGGCTGGAAGGAGGAGCTGCGTTCCACCCCTGCTTGCTTGTACTATCTTTTTTCACTGCTAGCAAACACAAGGACTAATCAACACTTCATTTGGGCAAAGGGGAAGTCTCCCAAGTCTTCCAGTGATGTCTCAGGGTCATCCACAGGTGAGAGCCTTCCCTGTTCTATGTAGAGTAACAACTTAAGGTGACCCTGGACACATGCTCTTGCTGCTTGGGCCCTTACTATCCCACTTCACAAAGAGTGGAGATGAAACCTGCCATGCTTTTTGTGATACTAAATCATCTCCAAAGGGGCACCCCCCCAGTGCCAAAGTAGCCTGTTCTTTCACACACTGACTTTCAATTGTTATTGTCAGGATCACTTTCCTCTGGACTTCCTTTCTTCGCTCAGAGGAATTCAAAGGGAAGCACAGAGGTACCCTTAAATCAGAAGCCAGACATCACCCAGTAGCTGCTCCTGGGCATCTGACAATGCATGCATTTCTCCTCTTTGGAAATCGCTTCTTTCTGTCATCCTCCCACCTAGGAGGATTGCTTGGGATTCTGGAAGGTTGTTAATGCTTCCGCCTTTGGATCCAATTACCTGGGCTAGATTCTGCCTTCTCTGAGGAGCCCCAGACAAATACTATGATTCGTAATTTAGCTGTAGTGACCAATCTTGCATAGCGTATCACTGCTTTTGCTGGCAGTGAAGAACATTTCAAGCCTGAAGAAACTTGCTAGTTTGACATAGACCCCTTGCTCTTTAATAGCCTCTCCCCACCTAGTGTCAGATGCAACACAACACAGTTTCTCTCTTAGCTATTTTATTCTGTACTTTGGTCATATTGAGGTCTGTGTCCGTGTCCCATTAGACAACCAGTGAAATCAATCACCTGGGTAATTGGAATAAGTATTTGACTCTCTGCCACCCGGCCCAGACATCACATTCAGCTTTGAGGATGTTTTCTTTCTTTCTTTTTTTTTTTTTAAGTCCTTAGGATGAGGCTTTTTCTCATGCTCTGAGGAAAGAGCAATAAAGAAACTGCCCACAGCCTTGCTCAATATGCCCCATCACAATATGCCTTTTACAGCAAGGAGCAAAACTGGAAGGGTCTCTGTTGTAATTGGCAACCCATAGCCAGTATTGCTAGTGAGCTGATCAGCATGGGGCATGCTCTGTTATGTTTAGTACCCAGTGGGTATAAAGTTGCACACACTAGGTGTAAAGGAAGAAAGTATGAGGGCTTTCTGTGTTGGATGGGAGGGGTTCAGCCTAACTCTTGTAGATAGACTGGGTTGTATTTCCTACATCAGTCTAAAGCTCAGAGAGCTGGGCAGTGCTGGTGAATGCCTTCCTGGAGCCCAGTGGGTACCTGTGCTGGGCATTTTGCCTTTCATATCCACCTTTGGTGGTGTTTCCCAGATTCTGGCTTGGCTACACCACTCCAGTGTTGGTTTTGGTGGGCTACTGCTGCATGTCTAAAGGGCAGTGGGGGACCCCAGAAGGATCAGACCAGTAGCTACGTGCTGTATTACAACAGCTTTCAAATGTGCAAGGGTTTAAAGATGTTCTGGAGACTTGTTTTTCCTGCTTAGTGTCTGGGTTTGCCTCTGAGGTTTTCTTTCTGCTTTTTAATGGTACAGTGTCATGTTTGTTGGTCCTGCTCTCTAATTAGCTCTGTGTGATCCTGCCGTGCCAGTGGGGGCTGTGCAAGTGAGCTGAAGCCATCATCGGAAAATGCAGAGTAGGGTGGTTGCTCTGTAACTTGCCCCGTGTAAGGGGCTACCTCTCTCTGAGGTGGCTTTGCTTTTGCAGGGCTAAATAATTAAACAGCTCTTCAGGCAGGCAATTTCTTCCAGGCAAGTTTCTGGGATGGGGAATTACTTTCACATGTGGGGCTGCTCTATGGGGCCAGCCTCTGCAAGCAGTGGGGGTGCCTCCCAGCAGAAAGTACTGATTTTCCTTGCTTGGTCTCACTTGAGAGAAATAAAATAAAATAACCAACAAAAAACCCCAACAAAACACAAATCAGGGAACACAATTGGGAAGGAGGGAGGGTTCCCACTTCTCCGGTACAAAGCATTCATACTCATAGTTTTATTTTTCTTACAGATAAGCATACCATAGTTAAGTATCCTGCATAGGGTAGGAGGTGCCCACACTGCCTAGGTCATGTATATTGTGGTGTTAGACAGTATTTTACAAAATGCAGTTTACAGTGTGACACCATTACCAAAAAAGTGCTTTTTAAAAAGCATGTACATACATTCCTGCTGAAGAGCCCTTCCAAGCAAAGACTAAACACCCAGAGCAAAGTAACAGCAGTATGCAGATTGCCTGAAGATATTTTATTCTTCAGTTATCACCAGATAAAATTCAGGCTAACAATACAAGGCAACCCTTTCTCCAGATAAGTTTGTTCGTCCTATAGTCACTGCAGACTGAGTGACTCCATGCTCTGCAGAATACCATGGCATGGTATGTGGTAGGAGGATACAGAGGCAGTTTGTACCCAGCAGTGTTGCTGTGGCACTCCAGCAGGGTCAGTCCTGCTGTATACAACAGGTTTGAGAGGTACCAGTGACAGGAAATGGTGCTGGCCAGAGCAGTCAGCTTGGTGAGAGTCAGGTGGGGAAATGGGCTGTGCCTTATCTCACCCAGGAGTCTTTCTCATAGCCTATGCCCTGGGCACTCCTCACAGAGCCATGGGGGGACTCATCTCCTTTCTCTTTCTCTCTTTCTCTGTGTTTCTTGCTCTGCTTCCAGGGGGAAAGAGGCATGCCAGGCCTGCCAGGAAGACATGGCACTAAGGTACCTTGTAAACAGTGCAGTGATGCTTGTCTGCCTGTTCTCACCTATACCACTTGACTGTCCCTGATGCACAAGCATCATCTGGATTTGTGTGTGTGTCTGTTAGTCAATTACTATTCTCAGCTGAAATCTTTCTGCTTCAAAATTGCAAAATAGGGGGGCTAATTTACAAAGGAGATGTTGGGGGAACTGTTTTACAAAGCAAATGGCATGCCCAGTCTGATGATGTCTTGCAACATCAGGATCTTAATGCTTTATGCTAGTGAGAGCGGCCAATTGCTGATGTTTCTAGGGGATTGGTGTTTTGTAAATTGAGGGTCTCAAGCAACTGCTACAGCCTTCAGCAGCTTGTGTTGGCCCACTGCCGTTGGTAGGGTTATACAAGTGCGAACCTGGACTAATGCAGCAATGAATCAGGGTCAGTGTGTGAGCAAGCCTGCATGTGTGTGCACTGCAGTTTCAAGATAAATACTAGAGAATAACATCATCCACATTCACTGCCATTTAAAGGCCGAAGAGTGAGGAACAGGCATCCCACATGCACTGTGAAAGTTTAACCTAAGCCAAATGCTGCACGTAATTCCTTTCATGACTCTAGCCTGTATTCACTAAAAACCTACTGACCCCTGCGAGAATCTGGAATGCTTTTTTTCCCCCTGTTTATTGCATAGAATCCCTGATTTCCATCTTCTGTCCTTGTGTTTTTTAGCTTTGTCCCTGATTTCTGTTTCAGAAAGCTGAGAGGTATGATCCTGCTGCTCTCTGGCTCCCCAGTCCTCCTTGTTTGAACTTTTCCAAGCTCTTTTCACTGTGAACTTGGCTCCCAGTCCTCCCCTCTGCCTCATGTGCTACATCCCAAGCGCTTTCATTTCCCAACTTCTAACACTACTTCACTTCCTCTCCTCTTCTTAGACTTTTGTTATCCCTCATATTTGCTTTTATAACTGGACCTTTCACCAGGATCTAACTAATACTAACACAGGGCATACAGAGATTTCAGAGCAAAGGGCTGATAGGGGAGACCTGTTTTTTGCATCAGTGCTGTCGAGGGAAATGTGACTGTCCCTGTGGGAGCAGCTGCCTCCTAAGGGTTCTCAGATTGCTGGACTCTGGTTTCGTGGCGGTGGCTTGCTTTGCACTGCAGAATGACACCTCTATTGCAGTGCTTGGAAGTCTCTTTTCTTCTCCTAAGGTGGCTGGCATCAGAGCTTTGCTGAAAATATTTTACTGCAGGGTTTGTTTAAAACAGAATGAGGGGAAATAGCAAGAGCAATGCTCTGGGGTACGAGCTGGCCCTTCTCAGGGTGCTTGAAATGATGTGTCTGGGATCAAGTGCTGAACTAGTTGTCTGGGCCTCTGTGTTTGCGTTCTTCAGTTATTTGACACTGTTCTGCTTGTTGGCCTTTGCTTCACTTGCAGGACTAAAATGGGGGGAGAGGGGGATGGGGGTGTGTGGTGGAAATCTGGTGTCTTAACAGGGTTGTGCTCATGATGTCTGCATTTAGAGGAGCACTTTTGAAAGCAGAGCCAATACCATAGGTGAACAACTTACACAGGGAAGGAGGATGCGTGCTGTGTGGTGTTACAGCGTTACTGCTGAGTTTTGGAATGGAAAAGATGTGGATTTCTCCTTTTTACTTCCACTTGGCTGATACTGTTTTGTTTTTAAAAGCTTGTGTCCGATTAATTTCAAACAAGGTGTTCCTGTCTTTTCTCTCTCTGCCAGGGCGCTCCTGGGGTGGCCACCGCAGGGATGAAGGTGAGTTTTACACTCCTCTGCAATGGCTTAAGTAGGGCACGCTTAAAAGCAAGGGCTGGAATTAGGAGATCGTAAGGCACAGGAAAACGATCGGACAGCTCCCACTAAAGGGGAGTATCAGAACTGCTATTGTGTTTGGCAGAGATACTAGACCGGTCTCCAGCAGCACCTCTGATAGGCCGTAACTCTCTAAGCAGAGTGAACTCGTGGTAGGTGCTCTGCAGCAGTGTCAGGATGGCAACAGAGCAAAGGGCAAGGTGCAGACTCATGGGGCTAGAACTTACCTGGGGATCCAAGATGTGCACCAAGACAACGACCTGGTGTCCAGATTTCTTCCAGCTGCTGGGGAAAAAAAGACAGAAATAAAGAAGTTATTTCCAGGGTTGGTGGGGATGGTTTTCCTCCTTCACGCCACATTGATCCCGTATCAACAGTCTCACCCTAACCCCAGATGCAACCACAGCCTTGCTCTGTTGCTGTGCACACACAGCTGTGAGTAGGCGAATTCCTTAATGCTGGAGATGGGTCTTGTCTTACTATGCTGTCTTGTACCTGGTAAACCTTCTCTCAAAATACTGCCAGATGGTTGTTTGGTTTTATAAAAGCCACTTGTCTGAGCCTTGCTGGTTTCTTGCAGTAGTTTCTTACAGCTGGCTGATGACGATAAACTGAGCTCCAGGCATAAATACTAGTATGCATTTAGAGTATCATCATGCCTTTATTTAAAACCCAAGGCCTCCATAGATGAATGTCCTTTCCTCCACTCTGATAGCTCTAGCAGGATTTTTATCCTCTCTTCCATTTTTTTCACTTTATTTTCTTGTTTCTTCCTCACCAGGGTGAGCCTGGGACTCCAGGAGAAAAGGTATTTGGAGAAGGTTTTGCTTTGAGCCTGCGCTTCTGATTGGTTTGTGTATTTTTTTTTCCCCTCCCAGAGCAGCTGAGGTAGCTGAGCAATGGCTCTGTACTTCCCAGTGCCCAAATCCAGGTCCTAATGATACCTGCCAGTGTAGGCAAAATGGTAGTAGCATACGGTGATGTCAAGTAAGAGGGGGGCAATACTGCAAACAGATTCCCTTTCTCCTGCCCATGTCTGTATTTATGGGAATACTTTCCAGCTGACTTCTTCCTTTCCTCGCTACTCCACAAAATATGCACAGCACACTTTGCTTAGTAAGTATGTTCCTCCTTCCTTTGTCCCCTTCTGCCTCCCAGTACTTCTGTGTCCACCAGGAGTCTTCCCAAACAGGGGGGCTATTTATCTGTCAATGTAACATATGAACTGCCCTGCACAGCCCCCTGTCTCAGTTTAGCATGACCTGGTTTGAGTTCCTGTGGTGGGCATGGTACAAAAATACCCCATCACTCTCCATCACTAAGCAGCCAGCTTGGTTTCTGAACAGCTGGTACCTCTTGTTTGAGGCTCGCTGGGTTATGTTACAGCATGCGACAGCCATATAACAGACACATTCTCTGTCTCTTTTCTTCTCCACAAAGGGAGATCCTGGAGTCCCAGGGAGGATGGGCCCCCCAGGTTTGCCAGGGAAGAAGGGGCAGCGGGTAGGACATTGTGTGTTTGGGCTTGATGTCCTGGCAGTGCTGTGCTGTGTTCCCTGCGAGCAGGAGCTGGCAGGAGCCTGCTTTGTGTGGCATTGTTGTGCTTGCAGAGGATTATGTGTCCTTTTCTGGATCTTGCCCCCTTGGTGAAGTGTGTTTGCGTGTTCCTGCTTGCAGGAGGTGGGGTGCTGGTGGCAGGCAGGGCAGCATGAGATGCCTGGGATGTAGTCTTGCTCTGGGAATGATTAAGGACAGTGCTGCATCTTTTAACTCCAGAAATAACAGCCTAAACAGGGATTCAGTAATCTGGCCTCCCTCTTCCAGAAATCTGCTTCTTTACACTATTGTTCAGGCAGCACAAGATGTTTTCAGTAGCCATTAGGAACATGTGTATGGAAAACTAGTCCTTGAATAAAAAGTAGGATATCAAAAGCAGAGCAAGGCAGGATCAGGGACTCACAGAGGCCCGAGACAGGATTAGATACTATATCCTTACAGAAACACCAAAGGCAAACCCTTTGCTTTGGGTACAATGTCCTGCAAATGTTTTCCTTCTTTCCAAGGAGAAAAGCATTAATTTATGGCAGCAGTGTGCATGCTGTGGTAGGGGAGGAAAGCTGAGTAGGGGTCTTACAGGTGGCTGGAGGCCAAATTATCTTAAAGAAATGGGTCACTGCACTCTAGAATTGCCTGAAAAAAATAAGATTGCTGCTAGTTAATTATTTTCCATGGAGCTACCAGTGCATGTCTGTTCGTGGATCATTGATGCAAGTCCCCTGCATGTCAGATGTGTGCCCTTGAGTTCTGATGAGACTAGTGTGCAGCACCAGCCTCTGCAGGCAACAGGAGGAACTCTTTGCTAACCTGCTGATCCATTGTGCTGCTGTTGTAGAGAGAGCTAGGCACCTGCTAGGGGAAAGAGGTTTGAATTGTTCTATGTAATCTGTACAAGTTTTTAAGTCTTAGAGGTGTGAGGATTACAGGTAAGAGCACACCTGTTTCCGATGATCCATTTGCTGTTCATGGTAGCAGAAACCTCTGATAGCACTCTGTCCTGGCGAAATGCAGACACCCAAACAGGACACTGTAGCTGAAAACCATGGGTTTAGCAGCTTGAGGTAATGGGCTGGATAGAATTTAATGTCAGCACAGTTAAGCTCAGATGTTCAAAAGATGACCCAGATGTTACGGCAAACTATGCAAAGTCACTTCACCGAGTGAATGCTGGATACCCTCCATTGCTCCTGCCCAATGGCATCCTCCATACTCCATGGTGCCCCATGCGGCTCAGCCTGCAGGCCTTGCTCTCCAGGCATTGTTTTACACTGTCATCTCCTGTCTTTGCCATTTTTGCCACTCCAGTTTTCACTGCTTTTCACAACGAGTATGTGTCACTGAGCTTGGCTGCTAACTAAAACACCACACCACTCTTTCTTAAGAGTATGATGAGACTGGGATTTGGAGTTAGGGAACAGGAGCAGGAAATGCCCCTTGGAAGACGTGTGGAAATGTTGATTGTGAGATCTTAGTTAAACAAAGCAGTGTAATTCACAGTGGTATAAGGAGGGGTGAAAATTGGGATGGACTCAAGCAGTGAACAGTTCCTGTGAAAAGAGCTGAACTCAGGGCATGGAAAAAGTCCTGCCCTCCAACTAAAATTCACCCTGGGCAACAATATATCTGGTTATATGGAATGGGGAGAGCCTGTGCTGAAGGACTGACAGGGAAAAGGGTTTAGCAGACCAGAGTGATAAGGAAGATGCACGGTGAGGGATCCTGGACCCCTTTTCCACTCACTTTCCTTTGGAGAAAAGTGGCAATGATGTGCAGAGATAGTCAAAAGGGCAGGAGAAAACATTTCCCCTGCTAAGCAGGTATTGCTGCAGGATGCCTTATCTATGCCTAAAATAAAATCCCCTGGGGAAGAGAAAGAAGGTTTGAAAGCAGAAGCAGCTCAGCCTTTGGCTGCTCCTCCAGGATGGAGAGTCTGCAGTCAGACCCAACAACATCTGTTTTGCCAACAGGGTGAGAAAGGACGAGCTGGTGACCCTGGCCTGCCAGGACTCCCTGGCACCAAGGTTTGTATCTTCTCTGATTATTTATTTCAGGAGGGATGGGGGTGGAGGGACTTCAGAGGGAGATGTGCCAAAACCCCATTATCAGGTGGTTTTATCCGCTCAATTTCAACAGGAGAAGAAAAAAGTTGTGTTCAAACTGGAGGTTGGGGGATGAGGTCTATCCATAGGCAGCTTTTTATGGCCCTAGGGAATAAGGACCGATAAACAGCACTACAGCCAAAGGGATTACGATAGCTGTGGCTGCTGGCAGGGCTCTTAGGTGGAGGCCTCAGGCAGAACAGTATTGCCCTGGTTCCTGGAGAGCTGGTGGCTCTGGGGCAAGTGATGTTTCTGGTCTGATAGACCTTGTCTTGAGCCCTGTCTAAGCCAGCAGTTTGGCAAGTGAAATTATGGAGATGGAGAGATGGAACTGACATATGGCTTGGTCTTCCTTGCAAACAGGGAGAGAAAGGAAATGCTGAGAATGCCTTGGTGGGAGGTAAGGGAGAACCTGGCCCTCCAGGTCTGCCTGGGCCTCCTGGACCAAAGGTGAGTGGTTTTTTTCTTCCAGTGAGTTGTGTGTTGTGAGGGACTGTGCTGAACACAAGGTGTATAGGAAGGGGCAAAGGTTGTGTTAATCTGTGATTACCTCTGATTACCTTCTGAAGGGGTATCAGGTTCTGCAGTGTTTTGGTTCTGTTGTTTTAAATGCTGAAGGTGTGAGAATTTGTGAACTCTGTTTCTGTGCAGAAAATTCTCTCCTTGTGCTCAAATAACTCCCCTCTAGGCTCTGTGAGAAACCAGTTGCTCAGAATCAATGACAGCCTCTACTCCCTGTGTCACTTGAGGCAGGACGGAGACAGGGAGGCAGGACAGAGGCCCTCCGAGTCTCCTCTCCCCTTCCTCTTCTATATCCTCATTGAGCAGCAGCAGTTAAATCCTGCTCCTTGGCGAAGGACGCCAAGAACTTCCAGTCTCAGATGTACTTGGAACAGCTCTCCTGTCCACTTATTTGGTTCTGAATTGGTGCTTTCCTTTACACTGGATACTCCTTCTGTACTGGGTAGAAGAGAAGGGCACCTAGTGTGAAGTCATGGCAGGAGATTTGGATTACCGAGGAGAAAGGGACACGCAGCCGGGAGACTTAGCTGAGGCAGTTCTTCCTCCTGGAAATGCAAAGCCAGCAGTGGAATCACACCCACTCTATGCAATACGATTCCATCCCTTTCCTTTTCTCTTTCTCTCAGGGAGAAGCTGGTGACATTGGCCGGCCTGGTGCTGCAGGGTCACAGGGGCAAAAGGTACAGAGCGCTTCTGCACAAACCAGCTCCAGGTTCAGGATCTGCAAATTTGTTCCTATGTGTACAAAACTTAGCTGAAAAGGGACATTTACAAATTTAGCTGTCTAGTCCCAGAGTGCTTGAGAGAACTGGCAGAGAACAACGATTCCTGGAGTTCAAGCAAGTGAAAGGATAGGCTTTGCTAACAGCATGTTTTTCTTGTTACAGGGGGAACCTGGTTCACCAGGAGATCAGGGGCCCATGGGACCAAGGGTAGGTGTCCCTGCAGTACACTCTTCAAGAGTTTTGGCCCTTCAAAGGGGTCTAAGGATAGTGAGGCCACACTGACAGTCTAGACTGGGCTTCTGCCTTCTTGACAGGTGTTCCCACTGTCACTAAATGTTCGTGTAGCTGGGCATTGTCTGAGACAGGACATTACTCCACTCCATATCCTCATCAGAAGACACCCCCACCTTAGCAGATAAAAGTCTTCTGAGCCACTTCAAGGTGACTGCTCCACTGATTTGTAGGAGGATATGGATTTGGACATCTCAGTATGAACTCAGGCCCTTGCCATACCAGGAAAGGGCAGTAGGAGGGTGTTTGTTGCATACCCACATCTGACAATCCAGTTTCTGGATTCTGGCCTCTGCCAGATTTGATGATCATGGCATGGTGATGGTCTAGGCTTATGTAGCCACACTTCCGTAGTGTTTCCTCTATAAAATGTGATTTTAAGAGCTTTGTTTAATGAATTAAAAACTGAAGGCTCATGAAACAGGCCTTTGTAAGAACCCCTTTCTCAGAGTGAACCAGCTCTGAGTACCCCATGGGAAGGGCAATCCCCAGGCCTTGACTAAAGAGCTGGTATTTTGCAGGGCCCCAAAGGAGAGCCTGGGAAGGATGAAATGATGGACTACGATGGTAACATCAGTGAAGCTCTCCAGGTGAGCAACTGCCCTTCTGTGCCGTTAGGTGCCTGCTGGGTGCTTTACTGTTTCCCAGGGGATGCAGACAACTAGGAACAATGCAGATTTGCTTCCTTGGCAGTAGCAGCAAAGGGAAGTACTTGGCTGTTCCATAGTCCTCTTTATCCCACAGCTCACTGCATATAGTGTTCTGGTAAATACTTGCTCACCTTACTTTGCTGATACATTAACACTGGTGGATGTAGAGGTCATGTGAATCCTCTTAAGAGTGGGCCCATGACATGAGGTAGCTGGTGAATAAAAGGACTGCAAAGCTTCTTCAGAAATGTGCACTGATGATGTTCGGTGAGTGAGCCTGCGCCCAGCTCTGGATTAGCCTGACTTCTACTTGGAAAAAGGTGAACTCGTAGTATAACAGCTCCATGGGGCTCAGAGCTTGTGGTTTTGCTTTTGTTCACTATGTAGGCTCCTTGCTCATTTGGGCCAGTGTTACCTTAGTGGAGAGCAAACTACATCTGTGAAAAAGCTTAGCTTTCCAATGGCTGTTTTCCGTTCTGATTTTCTTTTTCTTCCCTTAGGAAATACGAACTTTGGCCTTGATGGTGAGTTCTGAGCTTTGCTGCGTGGTTTTAAACAAGTAGCCATATGTCCATCCTAAGCAGATGGCCTGACAATTTAGGTGCAGCTAAAACATTTGGCTCTTGCTTTCGGGAGCTAAAGTTGGGGCAGGTGACAGCTGAAGGAAGAGCTCATCTTGCCTTCTGGTCTTGGCACTTTGAGCTCTAATCAGGCCCTTAATTTGTCTGCTTTAAGAGGCAATACATGCTGCTCAGAACAAGGAGTGCCCAGAAGGAGCAGGGAAAAGCAAAGTGAGGCTGCCTTAAACAGATTAAAAATAGGCTTTGGGTACCTTGAGAGAAAGCTTATATGAGCAATCTGTAGTGGACGCTTTCTGTGGTGGGATGGGAGGACATGTTTTCAGTGTTGATAAGAATAATTTGACATTACAGTCCTGTACAAAAGTGATAATTTAAAACAGCAGTGACTACAAGCTGTTTGAAGACAAAGAGAGACAAATAGTTATTTGGGCCAAAATAAGATAAAAAGTGTGCCTGTGCGTTGCTTCTCAGGACAAGAAAGCTGGTTAGGAAAAAAACACGTATTTTTAAAAGGCAGTATGACAAGGTAACACAGGTGTAAGTAACATCACTTTCTAGGCCAAACTGTTCCCTAGGTCTCCTAAAAGTGGTAACTGCCAAGACCGATCAGGAAATCTGCTCAAAATACTAGGCCATGTAGCTCTGCTTAAGCTGTGCTTGACATCTAAGTAGTAGTGTTTCCTATGATCTTTTTTTCTAAAAAGATACCTTTATAGATAGGAAGGGAAAAACCTTGTTCAGTTCATCTCGGTTTCAGGAGCAGAGAGCTGTGGTCGTTTTCATTTTTTTCAATGAAAATACATACATTTCAACAACTCACTTTGGACTGGCCTGCTGCTCACTCAGGACTCCCCATTGCTTGGCTTCCCAAGCAAATACAGTTTTAGGAGTCCCTTGGAAAATTCCTCTGAAATTTCCCCTTAAACTCAGAAGAGCTGTTTGGTTTCAAAACATGAAAATGAAAGTCCTGTTGATAATCTGAAAATGAGTTTTTCTTTACCTAGGGACCCCCAGGACTTCCAGGTGTGGCTGGGCCTCCAGGGCCTCCAGGACAGAAGGTATTTGCTCAGTTCAGTACTCTTAGAGCTAAGGGAAACACAGGACCGGTCCAGGCATAATCCCCCATCCCAGCCCTCCCTAGTATTCCAGTTTTCCCTGTCCAACACTATCAGACCATCCTGCTGGCCTCTCCACTCCTCCTCTTGCACAGTATCCTGAAGATCTCCTTTTCCCATAATAGTAATGATGTGAAAGATGTGGAAGATGAAGAATCGTTTCTACTTGCCCTTCCATTTAGGAAGAAACTATGGGAACTGATCTCTGTGTGGGGATTGTGTTGGCTGGGGGCTATGTTATAGCACTGGTGCTATGAACTGTCAAGAAAAACAAGGCTGGTGGAATTTTTAGGCAGTCACACAATGTGTTGTTTCAACAGGGGTTTCTGTGTTGTTTTTTTTCCCTGTGAATATTAGTTACCAGAGTTCCCGCAGACCATTTCTGTAATGGCTACCCTTCATCATCATAGTGCTGTGCAGAAGGAGGCAGAATAGCTGCTTTCACACTGCAAAAGTAACTATTCTGTGTTTCAGGGTGAAATTGGCTTGCCAGGTCCCCCAGGCCATGACGGAGAAAAGGTAAGGCGTGGTGCCTCTGTGAACTGCTTTTCTTCAGTGGTCTTTTCTGGAGTTAGTATGTTCTATCTCTGTCACTGATATTGCACAGTTGCTTTTCCCACAGGCAGGGGAACAAATTATTTTGGTTGACAAAAATGAGCATTAATTTATCAAAATCCTAACTTATAAGGAGTAGCAGTGATAGCATGGCAAGTCTACTTCGTTCTGCCCATGGCTCCTCAAAGGTCGTTACTGTGAGTGAGAGGATGAGCAGTGAAAGAGGAATCACTCTGCAGGAGTAACTTTTATCTGTAAATGTTTCACTTTGTGTTGTGTGGATTTCTTTTAGGGACCACGTGGCAAGCCTGGAGAAATGGGCCCCCCTGGCCCTCATGGACTGCCAGGAAAGGATGGACCCCCTGGAATAAAGGGAGAGCCAGGCCACATTGGGGTCAGGGGAGAAAAGGGCGACAAAGGAGAGCCAGGACAAGCTGGCTCACCAGTGAGTAAATTGAAGCTTCTTGAAGTATTGCTGGCTATCCAAGGTTATGGGCAGGCCCTGGAACTTCTCAGATACCTCAGAGCCCCTCTGAGGTGGGTGCTAGAGGCACCTTATTGTTACTGTATGAAGAGTGCCAATACAGAAGTGAGGTCATAGCTCCCTGGCAGATGTGTTGTGCATCTTGCTGGAGTGGCTGTCCCCAGCTGCCTACCCTGCTCTTTGGGCACTGTTGTCACTTCCCCAGCTTGCTACCTGGTGTATTACATAAACTGAAATGCCACTATAAGCAAGCAGGCCTGACTGTCAGTGAGACAGCTGAGGTGCCAGTACACACATCCCTCCTAGAAAGGCAACTGCATGGATTAACCCCTTACCTCCCTGCCACTAACTGGGGCAGTGTGCCCAGTCTCACAGCTTCAGTCTGTCACAATGTCTGTGCCTTCAGCACTAGTCATGAGGGTTTTATGCAACAAGTTTCTGCCTTTCTAAAAGATAACTAAGGTGAAACTCTTGCTGTCACAACAGCTGGCTATTGGAGAGTCACTTCAAGCATGGACTCCAGCAAACTGCATAACTGTGAGCAGAACATGGAGGCAGGAAAGCAGTACCTCATCCCCACTGTGGGAACTGGCACTTCCACAATGACAGGAGGGTGCTCAATCATTTGGACATCCAATTTCAATACTAGTGAAGTCCTGCACTTCCCTGGGGTTTTTGGCATGTTCTTGGGATGACCAGAGCCAGTCTCGGCTCTTGCAGTGAAGTCTCTTATGTCTGCCTGACTTAGTCTTGCAAAAAGTCCACATATCTTTCTTGATCTGTAGGGTCTTGATGGCTCCACTGGAGAGAAAGGCGAGCGGGGTTATCAAGGGATGCCAGGACCATCAGGATTGCCAGGTCCCATTGGACTTCCAGGATTGACAGTAAGAGTGAAAAAGACAGGCTACGCTTTCCTGCTTGACAAGCAGAAAACAGCATAGAGCAACACAGAAGGGTTCGTTTCCCAAAGTGTTGAGTATCTCAGGAGCCTCAGACTTCTGCCCCTTGGTTAGGTGCTTAGGTGTCACTGAATGTCTGCAGAGTCTCCAGCAGCAGGCAGGGGGCCAGCGGGGCATCTGCCCCCATTGCTGTTTGGAGGTGCTGGCTCTGACAGCTGCCAAAGCCTCTGCGGCTAAGTCAGCTGAGACACCCTAGTTTGCTGGCAGCATGACACTGTTGCTGACCTGCTTGCCATGTCGTCCCTTCCATGGAGGTGGTAATCCAGCAGAGAAGTGTCAGGCCACTGTTGCTTAAAGGCAAGCAAAGTCCTGTAGCACTCTCCTTGCACAGCCACAGGGTACCATTCCTAGAGCCCTCCCTTTTTGTAGGGTGTCTGCTCTGGAAGCAGAGGTGCAGGAAGGCTGCAGGGAGGCTGTTTATGAAATGCATGGTATGTTCCTACTTCTCCTTTGAGGAACTGCTGCTTGCTAGCACATGGGTGGTTCACAGATGGCTTCCGATGGAGTGAGACTCTAGAGGGCAGCTGGTGGTGACAGGATCTGTTGTTATGTGCAGGGAGAGAAGGGTGAGCCTGGGCAGCGTGGAGACAAAGGAAATCCAGGAGAATCGGTAGGTCATCTTTCTCATTTTTCCTTCTGCAATCTCAGCAGTAGGGGAGGGCTGATTTGGCAGCAACGCTATTGAAAACCAGCACGTCCCAGCCCCTTATGACACACCCTTCACTGAGGATGGCAAGCTTCATCTTGTGGGTCTGAATTGCTAGCTACATCTAGCTCCTGATGGCCTAATTTTCCTTTACACAAGAATAATCGTGCTCATAAAGCAATCAATAATGAATGCCTAGGGAGGAACAGAGGGTCATGGAAAGCATGGCAAATACTTTCCTCAGCATTTGCAATTAAGGGATTTCCTGAGCAACGCTTACGTGTTATCTGCATATATATGTATTTTGGGGTTTTGAACTTGTCCGTTCTCCCTTCAAAGCTCACCCCTAGCTTTTGGAGCATCCTGCAGCAAGGAATCCCGCAGGATATGAATACACTCTTCCACATGTGCGGAACCAGCCACCTTCTTTCCTATGTTCTGAAACAGCTGCTAGCTGTTGACCTTGTGCTTCCTTGCAGGAACACTGGTAGAGTAGTGGAGGTGGACCTTTATCTGGAAAAAAAATCACTGCTTTCCCTCTTCCAAAATATCTGCAATTGCTGCCTAACCCTCCCCAGAGTCCTGCTGCTGCTTCTCAGCCTTTCTGTCCTGAGTTGCTGCCACTTCCTAATGCAGTACTTAAGAGTCCAGGTTTTCAAGCCTGGTAGAGCTCTGCTACACAGGCTACCTGCTACCCCTTTGAGCAGTTCCCCTTCACCTCTGAGGGCAGCAGATTATGACAGTGACTTCTCTTGCATTGCTTTCTAGATATCTGGACCCCCTGGACCCCAAGGCCCACCAGGACCTCCAGTAAGTTCTGAGTGATTCACCAGAGGTGCAAAGCACTGGGGGAATGAGGATAAAGCAGGAGCTCTCTGGGGAGGATTTTGAGTGGAGAAAACAGCTAGAAACACTGCAGCCTTGAAACAGGAACGTGCTTAGTATCACTTCCAAAACCACCCCCCGGGGTAGGTCAGAGCTATGATGGGCTGGATAGGTTAAGAGAGAAGGTTATGTTAATCTGAGATGAAAGGGAAGACAGTAGCAAGACGGGATGGATGGGATTAACGGGATCAACTACAGAAATGGTTTTAATAGCAAGCCTGGCCCAGTGTCAAGTTGTTCTTGGCGAGAGCTTCCTCATTACCAGAGGAGAACAGTACATGAAGTGCCCTTTACACAAATTAAGAGGCCTTCAGGCTAAGCATTTGTGCCGTCACTTGTGCCCTCACCGTGACAGAAAGCAAAAGCTCTACACTGCACACTGAACTGTGATACCTGGATTTTACTGGACATTACTCATATCTTGTCTCTCATCCCAAATACAGGGTCTCCAGGGTCTCCCAGGACCGAAGGTAAGGCTGCAAAACATTACATTCTGAAACTTTACTAGAATTGTCCCAGCTGCAAGAATTCCCTTCAGTAATCACTTCCCAGCTTTCAAATGTTACTTTTCTTCCACCTTTGTAAGAGGACAAGTCCTTCTGGATATTTTCTTGAAGGAAATGGATTAGCAGCTCTCACTTTAGGACCCAGAAAACTGGTCATTTGTAGTTTTCACCCAGAGAAGTGGGAAGTCACTGGCCCTCGGAAATCTTCCCATGAGACCATAGTTTAAATTGTTGCTGAAGAGTGAAGGACTGTACAGCGGGATGAACAGCCTGTCCTATAATCCGAAGTAACTGAGCTCTAGCTTAAAATTAGCCAAGTTCTACACCCTGTAAATTCTGCTGTTAAACCACTCAAGAACTTCACTGTTCTTGTTGATGAGAAGCTTGTTCATCTCCATCTAGGTATGTTCATGCTCAGCCTGCACCGTTGGTTTGCCTGCTGTAAAATGGTACCTAGATGAAAAAAATGTTTGGGTGGAAATGCTCAAAGAGAGCTGCGGTTTTCCCCTGACACGCTTGAAAAAGATTGGAAAATGTGGAAAGTGTCTTAGTTCCTCTGGTTATGCTTAGTATTTGGCTACCAGTGCTATCTGGGTGCTAAGGGGGTGGTATATTTACCCTGATGCATCTTTTCTCCAAGTGTTGGTTACAGATAGAGTTATCTGTCTTGCTCATCTGTAACTCACTAGCTACTGCTATCAAGTGTCTGGGAAGCTTCCGTAGGATGCAGTTGTCTTTGGGGTATAGGCCAAACAAATACAGGTGAAAGTCTGGCACAGCACAGGCTGGATTATAGGCAGAGGAAGTACTGCACCAGTTCCTCCTTGAACAGAGGATCCATGTAGGCTTGATTAGCAGGTGCAAGGAGAGTCCTGTGTGTGGAAGTTTTTGTCCCATCTCTGTGACTAAGTCTTTTTGTAGTGAGTCTTTCAGTAGTGGGGAGGAAGAGCATTTTATACCCTTTGCAGACATGCCAGAAACAAGCAACCCTTCCAGGTATGTGCTCAAGCCAAACAGTGCTGCAGGGCAGTGACGCATGGCTGAATGGAAACTGGAGTCCTAGTAGAGTGAGCCAACAGTGTGGTGTCTTAGAGCTGTAGAAGAGTACATCAAGCAGGCTTACTGTTTCTGTGCAAACTTGGTTCTTTCAACACTGCTGTTTCAAAATACAACCAAGATAATGTTTTAAAATGTTTTATGAACAGGAATGGGGGGAAAAAGCTTTGGGTTGCATTTTGAATGTATGAAAAAAGGAGTATTTTGTTTAATACTTGTTTAATACATACCATATATGTATTATATATATGGTAATATATAAAACAAAACCTGCTTTATAATTTATAATACAGAATTTTACAAATACACTTGGAAAAGGAATGATGAAATTATTTTTTCCCCAAATGTTGAAACTGATGCCTTTGCATTTACAAAAATCTTTCCAAAAATTATTTCAGTATGATTTTTCTTCAAAGCTTATAGACCCCTGTCATTCTCTTCCAATGAACCCACATCTTAAAATGTAAACCCACCCTATCAGATAACTTCTGGTTACTTATTTTTATCTGACACTCCCTGCAGTAGCAGAGAGCAGCACAGAAGTGAGCTAAGTTCCCTTTTGAGCATCTTTACCCACTGGGCCTGAATCTCCTTCTACTGACATGGACCTAAAACATGTGCTCACACAGAGGTCATTTGACTGATACTGGGTTTCTTCAGATTGAGCAGAGAATCAGGCTAAAACATTGCCCTGCTGCTTCTTGTATTCTGTCTGTTGCTTCAGCACTCCCTGAAGGAAGGAATGTTTGTTATATAAGTGGTGTTATGGCGGGTTTATTTTCTGCTCCATCCTTCCTTTAGGGGGAAGCAGGGATTGATGGAATGAAAGGAGAGAAGGGTGCCCAGGGTGAAAAAGGAGACAGAGGGCCACTGGGATTACCCGTAAGTATCCAGGAAGCAAGAAGCACTTTATAAGCCAAACTTATATCAGCTGTAAAAAGATCCCTCAATAGGAGACGCACGCAGGGACTTGATATGTAAAGTCAAAGTTGAGCTATAAATAACTGTGCCTTTGCTTTTTAAACTTAAATCCTCAATTTCTTCACAGAACCTTCATCTTTTAATCTATTAAATAGATCAGTGATCACTTTAATTCTTCCTGCTTCTGGCAGGAATTGGAAAAACAAGCAGCAGATTTGCTGTGGGTTCTTTGCACTTCAAGCCAACAGGGCAAGACCAGAAAAAGAAGTAAAAAAGACATGGAAAAGTAAACACCTCCCCTGCCATTTGCCACCTGGCTAAGCTTTGTACAGACGCTTGGACGCTCTGAATGCATCCAGCTTCTTCACTAGCCAGTACTTTCTCGTTACTTCTGCAATGAAATTGATGCTTTCTCTGACAGAGTAGAAGGAAGCTGTGCTCCCTGCTCTATGTGAACTCAGTCACATGAGACTAGTGTTGGTGCACTGATTAGCTTAGCAAGGAACAGCAGCTTTAGATACAAACCGGAAGACTTTGTGAAGCTCTTAGCTCACATCTGCTAAAAACCTCCTCATCCATTGAGCCAACAGTTAATAATGAGTTAGTGGTAACTCAGTCCCACCCAGTTGCTCTGCCAGCGCTCAAGTTCTCTCCTCATAAAAAACACTGGTGGCAGAGCACACCGTCTCCCTTTGCTGAATGTGCTGCCTGGAAATAAGCACCACAAAGTGCATCTTGTGTACTATGTGACTTTGTCAGCCTGTTTTCAATCACCCAGATCCCTTTTCCCTGACATTGGCTCAAATGAGCATGTCTTTGTAAAATGTTTTCCCCTTTTAGTTGTGCTATTTAGCAGTTACCTTCTAGGGCCTGGATGCATCTCATCTAACTCTAGGCACTCAGCTGAGGGTATCACAAGTATATGCAGTGTGGCTCCGTGCAGAGTCAGTGGGGAGAAAGGGGTGCTTTTGGAAGGCTCAAATGCAAAGGATTATGCCTCTGAAAGAGCGAGAAGTAAAAACATATTTCCCATTTTTCTCTGAGAAATGAAAATGGAGACTTTCAGTGTAAACAGTTATCCCCTCAAGCCTGTGTGGTATAGGATATAGGAAGGAGCTCCTTTTGGCATGCTGAACAGAAGATGCCCCAGCAGTTATCCTGACAAGTTTATCAGTGTGTCAGGGAATGTACTAGCTGGCTCTCCTACAGCAGTGAGCCCCATGAGAAACCAGGGTCCCTTGGCTTTTTACATAACTTTTCCTGAGCTGTGGAGGGGGCAAGACTGGCTCAGAAGTGTCCTCTTAGAAATGCATTCTTAAGGGGATCTGAAGTTAGTAGGTTACAGGTTGCAAGCTCCAGGTCAACCTTGTATGTATTCAGTGTTTTTATGTTTTTGTTGGTTTGCTTGTAAGTACCATCACCTGTCCTTGAGATCTTAATTTTTGTTTATTGCAAGCATATGTTTGTCTCAAGTCACTGCTTCACTCACCTCTCCCCTCCCCTCTCATTTCCCCTTCACCCTCCTCCCCTCTCCTCTTGCCTTGTTTTTGTTAACCCTCCCCCATCTGTTCAGGGTGCTTCAGGTTTAGACGGCAGGCCTGGACCACCGGTGAGTTCCATTTCTCCATTACCCTATGTTCCTCCTCCCCAGTATCGTGATTTGTCTCGTCTCTTCCATCAGAGTCTCGTTTACACCAGGAATAACCTTCTTTTCTCCAAAGCAGGCTTGGGAGGGGGGGCTAAACTTAGACTGAGAACCGATGTCATACACTTGTCTTTTTTGATGCTATGAGTCTGCCTGGATTCTGGGATCACAGTCTACTTGTTCCACTTTATCTCAATAACAAGATGAATGAAACATCTGCATGGTTCCATGATGCTCTGTTCTCCTGTCCTCTTTACTGTTGGGGGGTTCCATTCTGTCTTTCTCCACAGTGATCTTGCTTGCCACCTTTTCACACAGTAGCTCTTCAGTTTTGTCTGGGGCATAATAATACTGTTATGTTTTGTCCTGTCAGCAAAAAGCTTTGTGCATTGTTTTCACACACAGCACTTATGGCTGCATTGCCCTGGGTTGCAGGTATGCTTACAGGTATCTCTCCATAATCTGGTAAGCACCTCACCACATGGAGAATTTGCATCAAAAAGACCTTCTGCAAGCAGGACTAGCCCTTCATGTCTTGGCAGCAGAATGCCATGCAACTTCAGCAACTCTGCCCATGCTTTCTTTAGTCCCACATACCTGGGAGTGCATGGTGGAGTGTGTTCTGATCTAGTACAGACATCTGAGGGGTAGTGACACCTAATAGTGGAGCAGGAAGATGCAGGATTCCCACCTCTTGTTGCTACCTGACCGTGAGATGTGAAGGAGATAAATTCCTTGTGCCTAAGCTTCTCAGTCTGTCAAACTCATTCTGAGACAAGTAACGCCAACCTGGTTCTGCAAACCATTCTGATATTCTTGGATAACGCCTGTTAAAAGGAGCCAAATATTTTTAATCTGTCTTGGGAAGTCACACATCACCTATGTACAATCCATTTCGCTATTTAAAAAGAAAAAGCAATTTCTTCTCCTCAGCATAACTGGAAACAATTCAGCTGCTCTAAGTTCTGAATCTGAATGGCAGCTTATACACCAACTTGTTTTGGGAAATTGCAAACTTATTTGCAGGCGAGATCTTGATGTATTTCATGGCACTAAATGATCTTAAAATGATGCACATGTGCAGGCAGTTAAGATTTCAATGATGTGCATGAACCTAAGGAGGGTCTGATTTTTTTCTCTCTTCCTTCACTCCGTTGAAGTTGTGTGCTGCATGAGCAACTTCTGTTCTGCAGATCTTAACTTTTCTGAAAAGCTCTCCTGATCCATGAGTCATCTTGCTGTCATTGGAGGGGTTACTTTGGTGAATAAGGATTCCAAGCTTACATTAAGACATGCAAGACCTTTTTCTTTTAAAGCTGTAAGAAAAAGACTTCCCTGTTCCAGAAGCTTCCTCCTTTGTTCTTCCTAGAAGGCAGGTAATTTGCCCCAAAAATATCCCTTTACCAAGGGTCTAATGAAGGAATTGTAGACCAATACTGAAATGTTTGGCAAAATTCTTGCCAGTTTAAAGATAGGTGATGTAGGGTAAGGAAGGCAAACACCTATACTATGTGGCTAGGTGGGTGCACTGCACACTGCAAGTTTAAAAGCTACACTTTATCTAGACTGCAGAATGTAGTCTGGGAGAGTTGTAAGAGACCCTCCAATGGGGAGTATTCCACAAGTTTAAGGAGTCTATAGAGAGTTGAAAGTGTCTGAATCTTTTTCTTAGCCAGGACTATTGCCTAACTGCTATATCACCCATATTAAAGATAAAGCTTTGACTGGGCTAATTTCCCAAAGCCAAAGCAATTCTCTGCCTGAATCTTTTTCTTAGCCAGGACTATTGCCTAACTGCTATATCACCCATATTAAAGGTAAAGCTTTGACTGGGCTAATTTCCCAAAGCCAAAGCAATTCTCTGCCTGAATCTTTTTCTTAGCCAGGACTATTGCCTAACTGCTATATCACCCATATTAAAGATAAAGCTTTGACTGGGCTAATTTCCCAAAGCCAAAGCAATTCTCAGCAGCACTAGGAAGTAAGTTTGGTATGCTTGTGGGAGTTGGCCCCTGTGTCAAAGGGTTAGCAAAAAGACTAGCTTTTCCCATTAGCACAGTTGAGAGCCTGGTGGAGCGACATAAATGGCAAAAAGGGAACAGAGGGACTGGGTCTGAAGGATACCCCTCATAGAATGCATCTGCGTATATATGCACCTGCATTCAGCTCTGCATCATGGCGTCTTTCAACTTGCATGACTGGCTGCCTGCCTGCCACCAAGTAACTAAATTCTTTCACTTTTGTTCAACTCAACTGTCTCTAGGGGGAAAGAAGGTAAGGAAATAAAGAAAAAGAAAATTGCTTATTATGCGTCTAAATGTCCTTTATTCTGCTACAGCTTTCAACCTTGTCGGGTATAAACTAGAGAGAAAAAAATCCCTCCTGTAGAACTGGTAGAAATGCCTGCTGTAACAATTGTCAAGAGATAGCTTCAAAATTAAAAATAAAGTTCTGTAAAACAGTGCTGGTGTGATCTTAACATAGCAGTTCTCATGCTCTTCAAATCGTGTTACAACTGCTTCAAACCCATCACCACCAATACTGAAAGCTGTAGTGGTGCTAGATGTCTTCTGTCACCAGACTGTGCTTCCCAGCTGTGCTTTTTCCTAAAAGAGCAGCAGTGTCTCCTGGCTTTAATGAGGCCCTGAAATAAAAATGTCCTGATGTGTTTTCCTTCCTACAACTACAGGGTACTCCAGGACCAATTGGGGTTTCAGGACCAGCAGGACCAAAAGGAGAAAGGGTGAGTTTGCATCAGAACTGTGTCCTCAACATAAAAAGGACATAGAACTGTTGGAACAAGTCCAGAGGAGAGCCATAAGGATGATCAGGGGACTGGAGCACCTCTCGTATGAAGATAGGCTGAGAAAGCTGGGGTTGTTCAGCCTGGAGAAGAGAAGGCTACGTGGTGACCTCATAGCAGCCTTCCAGTATCTGAAGGGGGGGCTGTAGGGATGCTGGGGATGGACTCTTCATTAGGGACTGTGGTGGTAGGACAAGGGGTAATGGGTTAAAACTTAAACAGGGGAAGTTTAGATGGGATATAAGGAGGAAATTCTTTCCTGTTAGGGTGGTGAGGCACTGGAATGGGTTGTCCAGGGAGGCTGTGAATGCTCCATCCCTGGCAGTGTTCAAGGCCAGGTTGGACTAAGCCTTGGGTGATATGGTTTAGTGGGAGGTGTCCCTGCCCATGGCAGGGGGGTTGGAACTTGATGATCTTAAGGCCCTTTCCAACTCTAACTATTCTGTGATTCTATGCTCTGTGATTTCTTTTAAGATACCACATGTCTCTGCGATAGAGAGCCTCTAGGTTTTTCTAGAGCTGGAAATGCTTATTCCTTGTGCATATTAGACCGTCATCTGGGCCTCCTTGATTTTTGAGGATCTCATTCTTGTGGGGTGTTTAGGTGTTTTGAAATGCATTTCTTCCATAGTGCTGCTGTAGCCACTGCTATGTTGCCTGTTTGTACTGAATAGGAATGTAACAATTTCTACACTTTTGTCTTCATTTCAGGGTAGTAAAGGAGATCCTGGAGTTGTAGGACCAATGGGGCCAGCAGGACTTCCCGTGAGTAATGGAGTACCAGGGATTTGTTATCTAAAGTGCCCATTTCCTTGCTGTGGTTGATAGTTTAAGATACAATACAGAATTTGCAATTTCAGCTAGGTTAGGTGTTAAAGAACTAAAGTTACAAGCCTGTGTACCCTATGGGAGCAACAGAAATTGTGCAGTAGCTTCAGAGCAGTGATTCAGAATGAGGCAGATTAAGCTGAACAGAAGAAACTGTTAATTCACTTTGGTTCTTGAACTACCAAAAGAAGCTGCATGGGACTCCCAGGATATGTATGCTGCTTTTGAACACATCTGCCCCGTTTATCTTTGCACAGCTTGGGTGCCTGCCTTCTACCTGTCTCAGAGGGCCCTGTCTTATTGCAGTGACAAAAGCTGCCTTCAGTGAGATTAATTACACTCTTTGGGATTACTTTTTGCAAAATGGGGCTAGTGCTGGAGCTCTAGTTTTGTGTAATTGGAGCTACTTCATTGATTAACACAAAAAAGGAAGTTTGCTGCTTGTTTCAGGGGGTGAAAAAAGTTTAAGAGAAACTTTTTACACACAGCACTTAATGCAGCTTTAAAAGTGCTGTGTGTGAAAACTTTCAAGGGAAACTTAGAGAACTGCATTCTCTAAACTACTTGGGTTTTATCTGAAGAACCCATACAGTAGTAGTAGTTGTAGTGGTATTACAAGCTGAATGGTCTAATGGGGGAGAAGAGGAGATTGTCTGCCGGAAAAGTGGGTTGTTTTTTTTACCATAGAGCAATTGGTACAAATGGAAAAAACAAACTCCCAGTCACACATCCTTCTTTTTGTGTTAATGCAAATATTTCAGTTTTTGTTAATGCCTTTCAGGGTTTACAAGGTCTACCTGGGGACAAAGGAATCCGAGTAAGTTACCAGTCAAATTTCTTGTATGTAGTTACTAACATCTTCACACAATAATAGACTGGTTAACACCTGAGCGGCCTCAGGTAGCCAGCATGCAATTCTGTCTGCTAAACTTTCATATAAGTAACTTTACAACCTTGTTTTTTAGAAGGCGATACCTGTAGCTCATATAATCACCTGGGACATTGCAGTACATCTATCTGAAAGCTATAGGGTAGGGGTTTTCTAACACGCTCATTGTTGTCATAGCTCTGTTCTCACTGAAGCATGTTGACTTCATGTGTAGTAGAGCTAGGGCAACATGGCATACTTTAGGAAATGCTGCTTATCTATTTACTGATGTATGTAGGGATTCCCATGAGAATTAATTGAGGTGAAGCCATCAGATCTTATTCTGTTACTTTTAAGTTCCTCCTGAAGCATGAAAAAGAAGGTTGCTCTCTAGCAAATGATTCTCCAGAGAATTTGGAAGATGGAAATTTGGAAAGGATGAATTAAATTTGCCTACATTAAAGAATCAGACATGAAGTCTCCTCAGGCATTGTCCTGAATGTGATGGTGAAGAGTTGGGTCAAAACCAATAATGTGAATGGCTGCTTTTCTGTTATACCACTTGTATTGTAGAAAAATACACACTTCTAAAAAGTGCATGTTGAGAGACTCACAGCTTTTTCATCAGGTTTTCCCAAGGAACTTTTTGGCTGTTAAGGCTCAGAATCTTTTTGATAAAAACCATTTAAAGCTATAGTTGAATATAATTTATATTTAGAAATATAAATGACTTCTGGATTAGAGCTTTTGTAAGATTACAATTTTATAAATATGTCAAGCAGTTCAATGTAGCACACATGTATATGTCTTTATTCATATAGTCACACATACATATGCACTTTCTCTTCATAACAATCTGGTATCACCTAAGTCTATCTGAAAATGTAAAGTTTCACAGTGCATGTGCCTGTGTGGGGATTTCATTATATGAATTTGCTTTTGATACATCGTGGGTATTCTCTGTCCCTTATCTGCAATGTATTTATGACCTGACTCTGCACAGAATGGGCAATTTTGGAAAGCAGTAGCCAATTGGCATCTTAAACTAGGGGAGAAAGATCCAAGTTTCATGGGAACTCAGAAGTTCTCCCCTATTTTAATCATTGCATTTCTGGCTTTGCTTCTTAACTTCCTCTTCACTAAGATGCATTTTGTTTTGTTCATGTGGCTTCTAAACAGAATGTAACTTTAACAGAACTCCTAGACTTTTTCAGTTGGTTTTTAAACTGGGTATCTTATTTATTAGCTGTAGATAGCATTTCTTTGAGCTCTCAAATAAAAATTGGAGGAACTCCATCTCCTTGTAGAGGATGATTTGGAAAGCATGAGTGGGAAGCTTTGCTGGCCCCTTGAAGCACACATGCACTTTGCCTCACTGCAACAAATACTTTGAAACAAAAAAATGTGAGAAACTTGAGACTGTAAACGGGCAAGTGCAGTATCTTTGCCAGCTGAGCCTAGAAAATACCACTTTTCCCACTTAGTCTTTGTACAAGAGCTTCCCCTCGCTCCTGCTCCTCTTCAGAAGTTGTGAACAGGCCACTGCTAGTCACAGGAGTTAAACAGCAGTTTTGCTGAGTCCTCTTCGTACAGCTGTTTTGGCAGCATACCACTATCCTTTTGAAGTCATTAGAGACATCTGACAAGTACCATTTAGCAGAACTGGACACAGTACCAGTTCCCTAGGACTGTCTCTGCAGTCTGGTACCCCCAGCTGAGCGCCAGGTGTCCCCTACAGTGGGACACATGGCTTTTGCATCAGAACCTCCTCAAGACCATGGGCAGTCTCTCCCAAATACTGGTAAAACTATGGTGGCAGTTCAGCCACTACTGACCTGTTTCATAGGGGGCTAGGGTACAACACTGGCCTCTTTGGAAGTGGGAGGTGTGTTCATCAGAAATGCCTCTCTTTTTGACAGCAGCAGTATGCGTAGCACTTTAATCTAAAGATTTTCAGTGTTGAGGACATTAAAAATGAGGATCCACTTTGTTAAGCTCCCAAACAGTTTGCCAAAATCCTCTGTTATTTTAGGCAGAGCAGTTCTTTCTAAGTCCCAGAAATGCTCCTGCTGCCCTTTGTTCAGAGAGATGAGCATAGCTGTGCCTGAGGACAGGCAGAGACAGTATCATGGCACTAGGTAGCAATGGGGGCAGATAGCCTTTCAAGTAACCCAGCTGAAAAAGTGTAAACCCTGAACTTGTGCTACCAAGCTGATACCTTCACTGTTATTTTAATGCCTGTGTTTTTTCTTGTGTGTATGTGCGTCTTCCTCGCTCCTACAGGTCCACCTTTGTCCCCTTTATCCCTTCCTCCTCTTCCGCCATTCTTCCTGGTTCCTTCCTCCTTCCTGCAGAGCAACCCATGCCACATTTTCCTGGATTATCCTCTGTGTTCCAGTGCTTGGTTCTGGGTGACTTCTCCTCATTGCCTCTCCTCTCCCATCCATTTCTCTTGCCAGCTTCGGGTTTAACACTTTTATTTTTTTGAAGAAGAAGCAGCAACCTGTGCTGTCTGATTTTATCCCTTAATTCCTTTAACCCTCCCCACAAGGATCCTAAATTCAGTTCCCTGTGCTGCAGCTCCTTCCCATTTTATGCTCAGCAGCTTTAAGAATTTCTTCTGTTATATGTAAAGATTTGGTATAGGTATAACTGACAAGTAACCCGCACAACACCCTGCCTTGGCTGACCTGCTGCGGGTGGGATGTATCCTCCCTTGGTGAGGAGGGGCAACAGGGCATCTGGGCATTCCCTCAGCCCCTTTTGTGGCTGGCATTCATTGCCTTAATGCTGACCCTCCACAAGAGAGCAAATTTCCTCTTTGGCTGTGATTCTTTAATCGTTTCCTCCCTGTCCTGGCTCTGGTGTAACTCAGCCTGGAGCCTGCAGAGAAACTGTGATACCAAACCATTGTAAGAATAGCACCTTCCTGGTGGTATGTCAGTGCTGCCAAACAAGAGGGCCAGGGACCACATGGTTGTACTGCTGAGCACCAGTCCTTTCTCTAGCAGGTTTTTTGGGGCAGCAACTACTCAGAGCATCCCAAAGGACAACCAGGCTGTGCAGATGCAGACTGTGAGGGCCGAGTACTTCCTGCATTCTCCGGCTCTCTTTTTATTTAGCAATGCTGATGCACCCCAGCGCACAAACCACTGTAAGACTCGGGCAAGCAAACCCATTCAAGTTAAAGCTTTGCTGCTCTGGGATACAGAAGTAATTTTAAATCTTAAAAAAAAATTAAAACCAAAACTCCCAACCTTCCCTCCCCACTAGAACCCAGCCCCCAAAACAAAAAACAAACCACGCCAGCTCTTAAGGAAGAGCTAGCAACCCCTGGTGGCAAAGAGTTTAATTAAACAGTTTAAGGGAAAGCTTCTGAACACTCGTTTACATTGCGAATGAGAATTCAGAGCAGTAAGAAAAGTACAGTCAACACAGGGCATCTGTGCCAGCAGAGTCTTCTTACTGCAGCAGGAGAGCCTGCTTGGGTCTGCTGCAGGCCTTGGTGTCTGAGGCACTAGGCATTGCCCCTGTGGCATTGGAGGAACCCTCCCACCTAGCTGGAGACTGAGACGAGGTGACACACTGGTGGCCAGGAGGCTTTTTCCCAGGCCGTGTGCCTAGGGTCAGCCAGTTCTCAGAAGGTACCTCTCTCTCTGAATGTATACTGTGCTGAACATATAGGCAGCCCAGAGAAGCAGTCTCATAATGATGGTACTGATGGAGGAGGAGTTGTGCTCCCCTGGCTGATTATAGGCCTGCCCTAAAGTTCAGACACACTTGTAATCCCTTTGATGCAGAGCCCTTATGGTCTATCAGTGTGGGCTTTTAGCAATGACCAATGTGTTTATGCAGCTAAGTAACAATTAGTAGATCCATACGTTGTTTTTCACTTAACATCTCAAAGGGAGATTTCTCTTCCTTTAAAATGTTTCCTACATGTTTATCTTTTTTTTAAACTATCACTGACATTTGTTTGAAATGGATGATCCTAAAGCTTTTGTGTATTCTTTTTTTCTTGGACCAAACTATTATTTACAGGGGGAGAGGGGCAAGAAAGGCTCTAGAGGGTCTAAAGGGGATAAGGGAGACCAAGGAGCGCCTGGATTAGATGCACCCTGTCCGTTGGTATGTTCTGTTTCATCAAATGTATTGTTTTAAGATTTGTTGATGGGGAAGAAAGAAGGAAATCATAACATAAATAATGGTCTTGCAAAAGTACAACACTCAGATAAGGCCCAGCCTGGTTCCCACTGTAATCTGTGGCAAAGCTTCTTTCTTCAGTGGGAAACCACTGATCCTCTGGGCAATCAGACTGTTGAGTGACCATAGTTATATTCCTTCCTCTTCCAGAGCTCACAAAGGTTTGGAATACATGGGGGTGTCCCATGTGTGTGCTGGGAGCCCAGGGCTTTCTCCTTTGTGGATAGAGCCCTGTGTCTCCTTTGCTGGCTCTTCTCTGGAGATGTTTAATGTTACTGTGTCTATGTAATGGCAAAACCTGGATGCTGTTTTTCTTGCCTTGGAATAATGGCCAGCTGATGTGGTCGCCTGGGAGTGATACAGGGCACTTGAGCTGCATTACCCAGAGGGAAAATAAATATCAGTTATTTTTAATGGGAGATGTTTCTGGCAAAATATATTGTCTATAAATCTAGAAAAATTAATAAATATAAGAATATGTATACATTTTCATCTAAACTCATATGCTGCAGCAAACACTGCCAAAAATCCTAGGAGTACTTGTGAATCACGCATCTAAAAACCCAGCTGGTGGGTTTCCTAGTGAGGATAGGGAGAATGGATCATTTCAGAATAGGTGAAACACCATTCCCATCCTCTCAGATTTAACTCGGAGAAGTATCTCCTGACCTGTAGATTAGAGAAAAAACAATAAGGAATCCACTACTACTGGCTACACAAACACAACTAGAACTGCAAACATGGGCCATCTGTGTTACGGGTATGCAGCAGAGTGCCCTGTGACAGTCCCAGTGGGGGACTTGGCCTCTCCTCCCATGACATGGAGGTGACTGGCATTAACTGAAATAACGATAGTGGTTGATTTCATAAACAGGGTCTCCGAGGTTTTAAAGGCGAGAAGGGTGAGCCGGGGTTACCTGGGCTGGACGGCCTGGATGCCCCATGCCCATTGGTATGGTGTACCTTCCCTTTCCTACATGCCTGTTTGCTTTTTGTATCTTGGTTGTCACTTTCTAACACCTCTGAATAGGTGCATGCCATAGAAACATCTGGCAATTCCTTCTTTACCTATCCCCACCCAGGCTGCATCACGCTGCTGTTGTCAGAAACAGCCCCTTCCCTTCGTGCTATGATTCACAGCTGCTGTCAGCGTTACCTTGTGGCATGAGGAAAAACGTAACAGGAATGTGAATTTATTTACAACTGCCTCAATTCTTTCTTTGTCTTCACTTCAGCATCTTCTAGTAGACTAACATACAAAGAACTGCCTCTGCGCTGGCTTGGCTTTTCCTTCATTAACTCTACTTTTGAATGCTTGTACGCTGCTCAGTGTTATCTCAGTCAGCCTATGTGTTATTATGACTAAAAAGAAGTTATCCTCTTAAACATATTAACTGGACACTTATCTCCCTTGATTTCTGCTAGATAATTCCTATTTGTGACTTTCCCCAAAAGTCCAAATGGTCCCATAGCATCCAAGAAACTTGAATTTGGAATTGCCTGTTACCATAATACATTGGAACTCGTACTCCCATGCCCTTCTGGCACTTGTTTGGCATGACTATGTTTGCTTGAGGGTGGCCGTTCCAAGCTTTATGCTCACTTAAAAGTGTTTGATGCCATTTGCAAGGGATGGAATATCTGTTAGTTCAACTAGCTGGAAAAATATGTCCCAGATGAAAAAAGCCACATTCAGGTGGGAAGGTTTCCTTGGTTTCCTGAGGAAACTACCCCTGAAATTAAAAGTCTTTGTTGTTTGACCTTTGTGAAGATCTAACATTAGTCTTCCTTCCAGCATTCCCTCCTTTTCGAGAGTGCTGTTGTCTTTTTGGTAGACTACCCTTCTCTTTATGTCTCTGCTCTCAGTTAGGATTCACCCCACACGGCTATATTAGAATGTATACTTCTTTTCATACCCATTTTTGTTAGTGGAGACTCGACAAAAAATTTTGGTGAAATAGAGATGCCATTGTTTTTTCTATATATATAGTGTTCTGGCATGCAAGCTAGCTTGGGAATGTGAATAAGCATGGGTTTAGATCCAACACGGTTAAAAGCTTAGCGTACAGCTGACACATCCACGTGTGTAACTTGTGGAGGCCGTGACCTAACGCTTTACACATCTAGGATATGTGGAAAGAGATACTTGGTACTAATAAGCACGTTGCATTTCCATTCTTGGCAAAATCGCCTGCAACAAACACTTCCTTGTGACCCTGGTCTTCCTTTGATCCCTAAGATATAACCCCCTGGCCTCCCATTCCTTCATACACCTAACTTCCCATCTCCTCCTGCAATGCACTACACAGTCATTCCCACCACCACCAAAGTACCAATGGGAACACCACAATTTACCTGCAATTCAGTATTTCCACAGTGTGGGGGGGTGGGGGAGGAAGCAGCACAAGGAGGGCACAGTCCAGAAAATGCATTTGAAAAGCAGTATGATTGTAGCATCATGGCAACAGTCAGTTCATCAGTCCCTTGAAAGTACATCTCCTTTAAATAGTTTATTTCTTGATATAGTACCATGCATTTGCTTTTCTGTTTGGTGTTTCTTCCCCTCTCACCTTCACAAATGGGATGATACGCACTTCAGATCTCTCATACAGTACTTGAAGAAGTGACAACTAAGTTGTTTCAATAAAGAAATGTGCCTGAATTGTGCACTGTGCAAGTCCACTCCCTGCTCCTGAGTTTTCCTGGGGAATAGCAACAGCACACAAATCTGACACACAGAGCACAATTTTTGGGCTTCTCATGTCAGAGGTGTATCTCCCTCCTTACATCTGACGCTACCTCCTGCTCAAAAGCAGGAGATTAAGCGTCATTGACATAATTCCTCATTTTCTCTCATCAATTTAGGCTTCGCCGAGATGAAATTAATGGCAGTAATTCATAAAAACATTTCCCAACAAAACAATCTCAGCCTTTTAGAAGCACAGCCCCTAAAGTATCCAACCCCCTTCAGCATTAAAACAAAACAGTCACATCCCCCCTTTGGGATGTGTAGTCCAAGACTTCAGGGTTGCAGAAGTGCCAGTGGAGTTTTGCAGAAATCTCACTGACCTGCCTGAGGCAAAAGCCCCCTCTCAGGGAGTCAGCTGGGACCTCCTCAGCCAGCACCTGGTCTGCCCTGCTGCTTGCCTTCCTAATTGCACTGGAGCAAGATCTTCTCAGAGGCAAGAGGGGGCAGCTGGGCAGTCTCTCATGTGATAAAGCAAACCCTTTAACAGGCAGGGCAGAAAAGAAATGGGATTTTTCTCCAGACTCCCCTTGGGACCCAAGGTCAGTGCTGCCTGTTTGCTGTAACCTCAGCATTACAGAGTCAAGCCCGATGACACAGATCAGCCATCTCGTGCTTTCCACTGCCAACTTCCTGCAGTATTTTTCTAGTTGAATGGGACCTCCTGTGTTCCCCCCTGCCTTCAGGGGAGCCTAGAAAAATACCTTCCTCAGTGAAGAATGAGAATGAGCCTACAGACCCTATGTACATAAGTCTTTGCATCACCCGCAGGCAAACCCCCTCTTCAGCCCCAGCCCTTGCTTCAAGCTACACTGGTTATGTTAGCCAGAAGTCCCGGTCATTCCACAAGCAAGGGTGAGGAATATCTTTCAGGCTATTCCTCCGGCCCTGCTTCAGACTGTTTGTTGCAGTTGTAATAGTTAACCCATGCCTTCTTTCCTCAATCTTAGTGCTATTTTCTGTGTCCTAAACTGCTATTTCATCCATCTTTTTTGCAGGGGGAAGATGGCCTTCCAGTTCAAGGCTGCTGGAATAAGGTAAATCCTGGAAGCGCTGTGACTGTGCTGAGCTGGCAGTGCTACAGGTCCTGCTGATGTTTTGCAATGAGTGTGGCTAAGATCAAAGCAGGTGTGGAGGCATGCATGAGATTTCCAGGACCACACCCCTGAAAGCAACAAGCAAAACTTTTCCTTGTTTGTATATTGCAGTTTAGCTTTATGGACTAAAAAAGAGAGAATTCTATTTGCAGCCTTTAAGCTGCCTGGCCCTGAAGTGCTCCAATACTTGCAAAAAGATTTGGTTTCCACCTAGTCAACTCTTACTACTAAAGGCTGGGGGCTGGCATACCCTAGGTAACCTGGGTGCCACGGGAGGCTGGCGGGAGCAGGACAGACATTCACATTTGTTTCAGCAGAGCCCCCATGGGGCTTTCAGCATCAGATTCCACTGAGCTCCTGCTGAGGGGTGTCCTGGTAGCTGGGCTGTGGCACAGGACTTAGGGCTGCTTAGCTCAGCTGGGCTAGCACTGAGAAGGGGTGTAAGACCTGTCCCCTCCACTCTCCCTTTGTTTCTGATGGTTCAGCTACCTCAGGAGTCCCATTCTGAGGTGCCACTCCTCAGGGTCTAGCCCACCTTCAGTTCCTCCTGTGTGCATTAATACCAAAAGTCAAGCCACAGTGGTAGGAAAGAAGTGGAGGCAGACAGCCTGAATTGAACTTCCCGTCCCCGCTGCCCAGGGCAGTGGAAAGGATCTCTGCTGAGATTCAGCACCATTTCTTTTCCTCCTGGAAACCCCAGAGCCAGCTTCCCTAACACTGTCCTTCCATCCCATGAAGCAGTCCTTCCCCCTGCTGAGCTGTCACTAACAATTGTTGGTGAATTGTCACTAACACTTATTTATATTTTCTTTTGCAGTGATGATTCTAACCCTGGAGTGGCCTGTGTGTGTTACTGTACATAGAATATTTATTTTTATACAGTGTTCTTCTCTGACATGCCAAAAGTTATGCATTTTTACAAATTATCAAAAAGCCGCGTATTTTTTGTACAGAAAATACTAGCTCTCCTATCTTCCCCATTTGTCAGTTCTTTGTATAATTCTATGTCTGCTTTATGCTTGTTTTGGCATGGAGTACAGCTGTAATATTTACATGATATTTGTGCACACATGATGAATATAGGAGCTTAATAAATTATTGCATTAAAAGTGCCCGAAGGAGCTGCCCTGTATAGATTTAAAGGTCATTTTCATTTTCCAAGCTTGAATCATTCATGAATATTTCACAATATTATGTATTTTTTATTAAAGCGAAAAAGTAACAATTTTGTTGTGACTAAATTAAGGTGTTGCTGAAAACCTCCCAGTAGCCACTGTACACTGGGAATGTAGAGATTCCATGATTAACAACTATCAAACAAGGACTGTTTCTCAATCAGATGCAGAGCATCAAGCACAGCCCCCTGCCAGCTCCTCAAGAGGCTGCTCCTTGGGCATGTGGGAATGGTAACACCTTCTCCAGGAGCTGTGGAGTTACCTTGTACAAAGAGAATCTCTTAGTCTCTTCTCTCTGGCTAAACTGGAGTGCTTCCCGTGAGCAGGGATAACTCTCAGGACAATGAGCCCTGGTCAGCAAGAAATTGTAAAATCTTTCTAAATCACAGGCCTGCAAGTAGCTGAATTAAAGCCTATGGCAGAATACCCCAATGATATCCTAATGGGTGTTTATTGCAGAAATCAGTCCACATGGCTTTTTAAAAATGTTAACCAAAGGTCGCATGCAGATTTGCAGTGTCAGTAATAATTTGCATCTGTGCATCTTAATTATCCCTCCTGACCTCCCTTTGTTAATGCCTTGTCTGAAGTACTCTACTCATCAAGAAAATGCATACTATTAGACCAAAGTGAACATCACAATATTCTTTTCTTAGAAAATGAGCAAAGGAGTGGAAGGCTAAATCTGTTCCCTGAAACATGTCCCCTTTCCTTGACCCTTCAAGTAAGGGGGAAAGACAGTTTGCAACCCAGAAGTTTCTCGGGAATAGAGAGAAGTGTCAGTATTTAAAGATCTCTGTGGAGATCAGTTACCCACAAGCAGTAATTCATGAGTTAGACCGAGACACTAAGGTCCTGCTCTTGACACAGCCACTATAAAAGGAGCTAAACACCCTCTCCCACAGCACCACTGTATAGCTTTTACCACCAGAGTTCCTGCAGTGTTGTACATATGGATCACACACAGGCTGTGCTCACAACAGTTTCCCCTGGCTACAGCTGTGTCAGCTGAGGTGGTCACCACCACAACCACGTCCTGCTCTCTGCTATTCATCTGCTTATAAACTGTTAACTTTTTTTCCAACTGATTCCACGCAGCCTTTTAGCACCACCAGAGTACGATAGAGGGAGAGATGTGCTCCCCGTGTGCACAACGGCCTGCAGGGACTGCCCTTGGAAACGAGCGCAGCCCCTGACTATTGCAATCCATTTGTCACTTTGCCCTTTCAGAAATTCACTGGACTTTACCTAAACACCAGCGAGGTTTCTACCACGCTGTGTCCCTGGCCTCCCCTTCCCACAGGCTGTTCCTGACTCACATTGCTCTCGCAGTTTGGAAACTCCTTGCAACTTTCAACCTAAACTAATTCATGGTATTCGCAACCATTTCTTCTCATGCCAACATTGTCCTTTGGATGAAACTTTTCCATGCATGATGTTCTCATGAGATGCTTGGAGAAGCTGAAATGGCACAGAAAGAAAAAGAGCTGCAGAGCCATGAGGGATTCTTGTTTGGTTTTTCAGTAATGTATCCCATTAATGTAAGACCCAGCTCCCTGTTATAAGTCTTTGCAGCTGTGAAGCTAATTGGAACAGCACTTCTTTAAATGAATGCCACGCAAGTGTGGTGTTTTAATTGCACACCTGTTAACTACAAAACAGTTACTAAAGACCCAAACAGGCATCCTGGTGGTGTTTTGCTTTTGGAAGGTTATGGTGAATTTCTACCCCAGTCTTGTAGCACTCAGCCCACAAGGTAGGTGGTTTGGATGTTTCAGCTCCTTCTTAAAATGCTGGCTCTCTTTAATACTCAAAAACTTACAGCTCCCTCACAGAACCTGTTCCCTTTGGTGCTGGTAGTGTATTTTTGGTTTGTAACTTACTTGTGATTGCACTGCATGGGATTGCCTTTGCTTGGGTTTGCCTGAGCTTTTACACTCAAACAGAGTGTAAATCTGTTATGTTGTCTTGACACTGCTACTGAAAGGTAAAGAGTCTTAAGATGATATTGTATCTGGTTTATTTCTTGGGCTGGTTTTTGGCTGATATATTGGTGAGAAAGCTTTTACCTGAGGCAAAGGGACCTTGAAATGCAATTGCCAGAACTCTTGAAAGTACCTGAGTTGTGTCAGTAAAGAGGCAGGGAAGGAGGAATAGGTTGAGCAAAAGAAGTTTGATTTTTCTGTGCTTCCAGTTTTGCCCCAGTGTAACTCTTCTGTTACCAGTGGAGATGCTCCTGATTTACAAGCCACAAGAGGCTTTAGTGCCACAGCTTCTGTAGCACTTACCTACTTTCTGTCAGCAAAATGCAGACACACACACAGAGTGTCAACACATTGTGTTATCCTCGTGTCTTTTTTCTTCTTCTTTATCTTGGATCATTGTCCGTATCATTGGTTTGGTTTCAAATTAGCTGCTGGACTCTAAAGATGCTTTATGTGGGCAGCAGAATCCATGACCTTTTGAGCATTGTTTAATTCTTCCTTTGGCACACCCTGAAAAAGCTGAACATAATTCAGAAAGAAGCATTTTTAGACCTTTCTGAATATGACAGTTTGGAGGAGAGTCTGCCGACTTGAAAAACTGTTTCATTTTTACTTTCCTTTGAAAACCAGCAGCTCCTTCTCCATCTTGGCAAAAGGAATTGCTAGGCTCCAGCTGTAAAGAAAACTCGGCTCTTGGGGCTGATTCTCAATGGCGCTGAGGCAGCTGACTCACACTGGTTTCTTTAGGAAGCAGGTACCTAAGTGGGAGTTGTACACCAAAATGCTTCTGTGAACTCAGCCTCTGACACTAAATGCTGATAGGTGCTGCCTAGTGTGTACGGGTATTTCATCAATCCCACAGTGCCTCTCTAAGTTTTGGCTCTGTTGGGCATTGAGTCGTGAGTGTCTCATACAGCTGACTACCAAGAGAACACAGCACTTCAGGCAACATATGCAGAGGGAGAGGGAAAGGACCTGAGATTATCTGCAGCATTTGTTTAGAAGGTGAAAGATAACTGATATACTGCTGGGGAAAATCTATATGTAAGATACCTGCTCACCTATCATAAGAGTCAGAAAATGGTGACAAATGTTCCCTGTGGCTGCTGCAGATCACATGTTTTTTTTCACTGTATTAGATAACCATTTCAGATGGCTGTTCCTACAGCCCCTGATACCAGTATAATCTCATTGGCCTCTGGTGATGAACCAGAGGTTGTGAATCAGTGAAATTTCACTGATGAGCTGCTCTTTCCAAACATGAGTGATTTGCATTTCAAGAAGAACCTGAAAGGTAAAAGCTGAGCTTGCACCACCCTGAATGTGACAGCTCAGCTTCAGGATCCATCTCTACTAAAACCTGTAACTAGGTTGCTGTCACTGATGATTATTGCTGTTAATTCTGCCTGGCTGCTTTCATGTGAATCCATTTGTCTGCCACTTCAAGGGTCAAACTCCTTGGCTGATAGCCAAAAAGTGAGACAAGTCTGAGGGTGGAGAAGCTTGGGAAATGACAGCACAATGGAAGGAGAAGAAGGACCTTCCTGAAGATTTGCTGGAGATGTTTTGCAAGTTCTTTCCCTGGAGGTTGGGAAGAGTTATTCAACTGCACACCAGGAATCTGTGCCAGATGCTGCCTGCTGGGGCTGCAGGAGCTTGGCGTGCCAACACTTTCTGTTTTGCTTTCCGTACTCTCCCAGAGGCCAGAGGCAGGGTTTGAAAATGACACCATTTATATTCCTTTTCTTTGGTCATTTTCACTTCTTTCTATTATTGTGGTCAAACTCTTCGGATGAAGAATTGGGCTCATTTTCCAGCAGCTGCTGTATAAATGAGTTTAAGACATGGACAATATTTCAGGGGGGGCATCCTTTGATGCAAGAAAGAAATCCTTCTTGAACAATTATCTTCAGAGAAGTCGGTGAACCCCCATGTTAGTTCAGAGTGCTGCTCAGAGAGGATGTGGAAAAACTTTTTGGTACCGTTCTGATTGCAGACTTTCACCTACATCGTTGATGATTCCGTCTTTAACCTTTTCATCACAAACTTTCTTCTCCTGTTAATTATAAGAAAGTGATGGGGTTTTTTTGCCAAAAAGGGAAAAAAGCACAGTGGATTTTGAAGGCATGAAATACTGTCAGAGGAGGAGAATGTGGAGTGTGGAAAAAACCCTGGTTTCACTGAGTAATTCCTTTGCTTCCTGTACTTCTGCTTTGGTTTCCACCATGCACACTGGATGCATTTTGTCTGGAGCCCTTCAGAAATGTTATTTTGCTGGCCCATTAAGGCGCTTTTGTGGATACATCTAAGCAGATGTACTTCCAGATGGAAAATGAGGATTGTTGAAGTCTACTGTTTCATACATACAGTGAAGAAAAATAAAGATTTGGCAAAGTGCTGAGGGGTGCAGAGGACTATTCCCAGCTGCCTGAAGGGCAGAATATACAACTTGGGTACTTCGTACCAACTGCTGTGCAAATCTGGCATCCCTTACTTGGTTAAATTCTGTTCACATGTAAGCTATGGGGTCTTCCCACCACAGCTCTTGCAATTTATCTTAAAAAATGCTAAAATTAATTATTAAGTGCACATCTTATGAACATGACTCGTAACATTTCTTCTTCGCTGAGTGCATTGGGAATCCCACTTGCCCAAGCACTAAAACATATTTAACTTTGAGCGTGTGATTCCTTTTGGCCTAACTGATGCTATTTGCATAATTTCAGTACTCTGGTGAACCGGGGCCATTATTATTAGAGTTAATGAATTATATTATCTAAATCATTAAGCAGAACTAAATGATACGCAGTTCACATTACAGTTCAGAGAGAAAGTGCTGACTTCAAGTTAAAAGTGATGTCTTTTAAATCAGAGCAAGTCCAGAAGGCAATAGCCTTCCTTCAGCCACCCTTTGTCAGCTCAGCTGGAATAATCCTGACCTTCTGATAAAGGCAGCTGTAGCTGGCACCCATCTCTTCTCATTGGTGAAGGGAAGGTCTACTGTTAAAATAATTCCAGGATTACAAAGAAGTTCTACTTTCAGTTCATCTGAAGGATTGCAGTTCTTTAAGACTTCTAACAGAGGTGTTCAGCAAGCAGAGTACTGGGGCATGAAACTGTTTCAGTTAGGAACCAGGATGATGAAAAGGTGAAGTTATTTTACTTGTATTTTTATTTTTGCTTTTTTTGTGGGGGGAGGAGGGAGAACCTGACCAGAGCTGCAGGCAGTAGGTGCGCTTTTTCCTTCTTTTTTAATGAAAACAATTAGATCTATAGTTAGATAATGTGACTTTTACTTTTTATTAAGGATTTGGGGGGGCAGGGTGCGATTTGTTTGCTCTTTGGTGTTTTTGTCTAGGTATATTTTTAATGGGCTTTTGGACTAAGCATGTAAAAATTCCTCACCCTAAATGTCCTAAGGACATTCCTACTGCGTTTTCTCTCCCTGAGTTCAGTAGCAAAACGGTGCTTTCTAGAGGCGAACCAGTTTTCAGTGGTGATAATCCATCCACGCAGGCCACCCCCAGGGACCAGGTACCAGCGACCTCTCCCAGACAAAATGGTGTCTCCAAAACACTCTCACATTTACACAACTGAAAAGGGCTATGGCAGGGACCACTCCATTGCAAGTGGTCTCCTCCGATCTTGGGTGGTCTGTCAGGAAGCAGTCTGGCAAGAGTCGCTGTGTCCTCTTCAGCAGCATTCTGCAGCCTCAGCTCCCAGGCTTAGCTACAGAGCTCTGGAAGAGCAACTAAAAGAAACGTTTTTCCTTGAGAATGGTAAGCTCTTGGTAGGTACCTATGAAAGTGGTGGTGTTTCTCCCTGTTGTTTTCCCCTCCTCTAAATCCAGCTATGCACCCCTGTTACCTTTAGGCTTTGCTTCAGGCTAAGCCTACACTCAAATGCTTTGTGGATGAGGGTCTCCTTTTACACTTTTTGGGGTTGGGTTGCTTTTATGTTAAGGGTTGTTTTTTTTTCCCCCTGTTTTTGTCCCTGTTGCTTCCAGATCTTTGTTCCAGACAAAACAGCTACTTTCTTTCCTGCATTTTCAGAAGACCTGTTGGTCACATTTGGATCACTTTCCCACTTGCTTTTATTATCTACCCTTCCTGCTGTACTTCCTCCCTTCTGGTACCCCTTTGTTGTCGATCATTTTGATCTGATGAAAACATCAGGGCAAAACATGCGTTAAACCTGCAGATGTCTGTGGGTATTTTTTGGAGTTGACTGTAAAGCTTCTACTGTTTAAAATGCTAGGTAGCCAGACCAGTTTAGCTTTGCAGATTTCTTATGACTTTGTTTGCTTGTTGAAGTTATTAAATAAATTTGTTCTTTTTTTTTTAACAGACTCAGAGTTACTCAAAATACTGCAGATTTTTTCTTTTACAGAAAAAACTGCTAACACTTTTTTTTTGCTGCAAAACATGACTTTGTTGACCTGCTGTCACAAGGTTTAGTAGGTCAGACATGTTAAGGATAGGTATGAGAGGACTGGTTGTGAAACTTACGGGGTGGAACTAGCATTCTTGCTTTCCATTGCACACTGTTTGTCAGGCCATTGTCTCTGGGTCATTGGGTGTGCTGGGAGTGTGAAATTCCATTTTGTGATAATTCCATTGTTTTTTTCACAGCAATGTTTCAAAATATTGCTTCAGTAAATCTTCCCTTTTACTCTCCTGCAAGGATTTGCTTTTACTCTCATGGTGCACACCACCAGCAGTGCCACAGACCAAGCAGTTTCGCCCTTTTGGGGAGTCTTTCAAGGGACTGTGCTAGCTCCTGAAATCCCACAGCTGTATCTGCAGCGGTATTATGTCAGTGAAAAGGAGAAATAGACATTTGGCAGCAAGACTGGGTAGGTCACCGTAAGCAGAATCCTTCTCTGAGCCTGGCTCCTAGCTATTCGCTTGTTACTGTCTTCATTACCTCTCCCTTCACTGTGCCAACAGAGCTGTCTCTGTGGTCGCAGGATGACCCTGCCAAGAACTGACCTACCTTAAAAACTAGCCCCTCAAAACAACAGAGCACCTGAAGTGAGAAAGCAAAAGAAAAAGCTTACACCAGCGTGGCCACAGAAGTGCGCGTGGACCAGCAGGCTGTGACTGCAATAATGGCAAGCGAGTGTGAAGAAGGGAGGTAGAGCAGAAGCAGCAGACAAGGCACCACAGGAGAGGCCTCCAGTGGCCTAATCTAGGCTGCTTCTCAGCTGCAGCATGCACTTAATGCTAAATCATTCTTTCCACTTTAACCAAACAGGATTACTCTGTTATTCCTTCTTGTCCCTCGCCGTTTGAATTTAAATGTAGGGTAAATTGGGCAGAATGTTGTCCTTGCTGTGTTTCCTCCTGCCCTGATAAAAGGAGAACTGGGAGCATCCCCTTCATGCAGGGTGTAATGGCCTGACTCCACAACAGTATCATAGTTCTTCATGATGCAAAATTGACTCCAGGTGTTGAACAGCACAGTAATGGGAGGCAGTTTCTGATTTATGGGGAAAGCCTTCAGATATCATGGGCTCTTCAAAGGTACAACTCACAGTGCCAGATCTTCAGGCTATATCTATGTTACTAATTGGTACGGTATGAGAAGAGTAGGTCTAAAGAGCACAACAGGTCCCCACCAAGGAACTGTCTGGTTTCAGGAGGCTTAATTTTTGACTGCTCTAGTCTGGCTTAGGAGTTAGTGAACCACTAAGCACTCCCATTAGTGGTTGGGACAGGATGTGTGCTACTGGAGCTCACCTTCTGCTTCTGTTTTATCTAGCGGGAATCCATTTGGTGTATTCAGAGGCTGTTTTGTGCTGTGATCCAAAGCACAACATGTGGACATGATCTAGAGATTTCCTTTGAAGGTACAGCTCTGATCTGGAATGTGGTGCCAACACAACATGCATGGCTACAGCCTGCAACGTGCTCTGAACCATGCTGTGCCATGTGGAAGCCTGTCTTGCCAAGTGGGTGGGAGCAGCATGTTGTCCACCCTTGTGAGTTAGCTCTACCAAGCAAGCTGTGTGGTGCCAAGACACCCCGTTAGCATTTGGAGTGCTCAGAGCAACAGAAAACTGCCTCCCTTGTGTACTTTCCCCATTCCTGGAATGTTTGAGTCATTGGCACTGCCCCTCTTTCTCATCTTTATAGAATTTGGACACCAAATTCTCTTGATGCAGGGACACTTTCTGTCAAAGATCTGTTCATCAGCCAGCATCAGTCAAACATGAATGGCCTAATCCCTGCAGGAGAAGGATTTCTGAAGCAATTTGTTCTTGTTACATATCTGGTTTCCTTGACTTTTACAAGATATTTTACTACTTTTCCCCCTTTGGTGGCATAGAATGTACAATATTTAATATACGTGTAGTGAAGTGATGAGTCGTGAGTAGATCTTGTCAGGGCATTGTTTCTGCATATCTCTTACATACAGTGATTGTTTGAGTCACTTAAAGCTGAATACACTTTTTACACTTTTTTTATATTGAACTTTTTAGCCTGTATATTAAATATCCAATGCTATTTAGCATTCATTAATGTAAGTGCTGTAATATACTTTTTTGTGTTACCAGTAATTATTACTGTCATTGTACTGATTCTAAGACATTATTTCGACTTCTTTTGGTAGAGTTTAGCTACTTGGAATTTTTTGGCTTCAAGAAAATTCCACACTAAATAATTGCTAGAATGAAGAGAAGAAAGGGCTGTTCTTTCCCACAATCTTTTTAACCTCAGTAGGAGCTTCTTCAGCTAAAATGAGCATTTGCTTTTTCTCTTCCACTTTTTCCTTGCTAATGTGATAACATTGATTTGCTTTGTCTTTTAATCCTGGAAAATCTGAATTCCATGTTGACCATGTCTATCAATATTGTAGAAAACCAGAGACAGCTGTTCCATAAAGAGTTACTGATCGTAACAACTAAAATACTGTAATTATTTTGCTTTTCTCTACTAATCGTCTTCCACAAGTTTTTAGCAAGTGATATGTGTGATAACAGTCGAGAAGACATTAAAGGATTAAACACTTAACATATACAAGGAAAGGGATTCGGTTGAATTGTTTCCATCTCTATGAATGAAAAATAGCTTAGAACTTTAATGCAGAACGAAAGTTGTGCCTTGGATACCTGTTTCTTGTGTCCATTACCTAATCCAGTGGTTGCAAAGAAACCGCATCTGTCCTTGGAACTAGGGGAAATTTAAAGAACTCCCTGAATCACTGCTCAGTACTAAATCAAGTTCAGTTTTCTGAAAGGAAACTGCTGCTTAATTATAACATCCTTAAGGCATTTCCACCTTCTTGTAAAAGATGGAGAGTTTCAATGTTTAATCAATGAGTATCCATTTATCAGATACAGAAATAGTGCTCATCTTATTCAGAAGTGATGTTTTATATTAAGATGAAAACTGCTACGCAAGAGCTGTGTATTGCTATTTAAATACCTTAGCCTATTCACTACATCATTATGAGAATACAGATTGGAGATTCCAGGACAAAGTTAATT